ATTTTACAGCCAGAAGTGAGCTGTAATAGTTGCTAACTCTTTACCCTCACCAGGAATGCAATTCGGCGATACTTCAAATTAAAAAAAATGGTAGCGTAGAATTTATATACTCTAAATTATTTAGACGTATCTCTTAGGTCTATCACCAGGAAGACAATACTTCGAATTAAAAAAAATCTTAGTGTAGAATTTATTTACAAGATTACAAATAAGAAATGTTACAATACAATGTTATTGTCTACAATCTCCTTTAAATGATATCACTCTCAACTATTCTGATTCCCATCCAGGAGGTGCGTCCAAACACGATACCCGACCTCAAGGTGGATGCCACATTCCGCAAGCTGCCCAAGCAGGCCGTTAGCTTTGCGCTTTGGAAAATTGACGAGGATCACCTGGAGGCAGTGGCACGACCACAATATGGCACCTTCTATGAAAACTGTGCCTACATCATCTACGCCTCCAATCTCGTCGGACACTATGCCAACCACGAGACTATCGTATGCACACACAGCCATATTTAATGTTCAATTATTTCAAATCCAAATGTTTCGTTATAGACGCGCGAGCAGAAGCCGAATGTGCCGCTGGAGCGCTATATACACTACTGGCTGGGCAGCAATGTCACCGAGCAGAATCGCTCCAATGTGGTGCACAAAATCCAGGAGCTCGACTCGTATCTGGGCAATGTGGCGTCCATTTATCGCGAAACACAGAATCACGAGAGCGCACGTTTCTTGTCCTACTTCAAAAATGGCTATGAGTGAGTATTGCTATCCAAAAATATTATCTGTGAATTGGCATACGGATGGAATCGAAGCCTTGTCTTTTGATTCGATTCATATTCACAAAACAGGGTTTGGCTCCGCCACATTCTAATCCCAATTCTTTTTGCATTTCAGTGTGCTCTCCGGTGCTTTGATCAATTCCACGCAAAAGACGCGTCTCTTTCAGTTGTACGGCCGCAAGTGGTTGCGGGCCGTTGAGCTGTCCGACGTAGACTGGACGCACTTCAATTCGGATTACATCATGGTACTGCTAACGGATGCCGTGACATTTGTGTGGATTGGACGCTCCAGTGCGGCAATTGAGCGGCGCAGCGCCTTGGCCTGGGTGCAGCGGCAGCGCAAGGACGGCCAGCTGTGCATTGTTGATGATGGCTACGAGCAGTCCATGAGCGCCGAGCATAAGGAGCTGTGGAACACGGTATTGCCGCTGCAGCAGCGCATGGTCTACCAGGCACGCCAGCAAGGCAGCGATTACGAGTGCAGCAACAAGGGCGATGCCAATGGCAACAAATTTCGCATCTACAAATGCAATCAACGTGGACGTCTCCATTTGGACCAGCTGGACGTTGGCATGCCCACCAAGGATGATCTGAGCGATGCGCATGGCGTGTATTTGCTGGACAATTTCGGACAGAGCATTTGGTTGTGGGTGGGCGCACAGGCAACGCAAGCGGATGCCCTTACAGCCATGGGCAATGGACGCGCCTTTGTCAAGAAGAAGAAATATCCGAATAGCACGCTGGTGGTGCGTGTGCTGGAGGGTCGTGAACCCGTTGAGTTTAAGCGTCTGTTCGGCAACTGGCTGACCGTCTGGCAGGATAATACACGCGGTCACAAGCCCGTCTCCACCAAGTTTGGCAAATTGGATGCGGTTCTGCTGGGCGAACGCCCTAAAATGGCCGCCGATACGCAACTGGTGGACGATGGACGTGGCGAACGCATTCTGTATCGCATATTCGGCGATCAGCTGGAGGAGCTGCCAGCCGCAAAAGCTGTGGTGTTCACCACCAACGCCTCCTATGTGGTCAAGTACACGGTCCAGGTGAGTGCGCAAACAGTGTTGGCCAATTTAGTGGTTTGTTCAGCACATTTGAATGGCTTTTATTTTGCATTCAGTGGGTTGGCCAAGAAGTTGTGCTCGTTGGGAATGTTTAGTGGGCTTTACGTGCAATAACTTGTGTGGGTTTTCGTTCATTTGCCAAAAGTCCATAAATCACATATAGAGCATATTATCTCTGCATATATTTTGCAACATGATCGTCTCACAGATTGAAGATGCCGATTTCATACTTTAATTTTCTTTAGTCTTTAATAACGCCCTCCGCTTCGACGCAAATCGTTTTCTTGTTAATTGTGACTCGCCTTTCTATGCGATTTTCATAACCTGGTGTCATAACAAAATATTTATTGTATATTTATAGTAGTATAGAAGAAGTCTGTTATAGGTCATTACTGGCTCACTCTATATCTATCGCCTTTCTATGCGATTTTCATAATCTCAAGTAAGGTCACCAGATTTTAATCTAATTTAAGTGATATTTTGAAAGCTTGCGTGTTTTTGTTTGGGTGTGTATTTTGTGTCTCAATTTGCATATAAGTAAATGTGAAATGTAAAATGTTGGGGCAATTTTAGAGCTGAGCACGTGGAATCTTTTAGACGAGCTTACTTTTGTGTACCATTGTATTGTAATAGATTATTGTGACAGCGGACAATTGTGAGAAAACCCGTTGCATATTATTAAGAAAATATTAATAAATATTTTATCGTACACAGTGCGCGACCGTTGTGCCCGCTGATTTGGCCTCCGTGGGCATTAAGAGCATCATCTATCAGTGGAATGGCTCAGAGGCGTCTGCCGAAACAATAGCGAAGGCTGATAGCTTTGCTATGACCAGCTTCGAGACACTGAAAGAGCCCGGCATGTTTGTGCAGCTTTATGAGTTCGATGAGACGCCGCATTTCTTGCAGCTTTTCGAGGGCAAACTAATCATTATGCGTGGGCAGCGCAGCGAGCTGTTGCACTCCAATAACAATATGAACTGGGACTTCAAGACGAACATCATGCTGGAGACATTTTTGCTGAAGATCTATGGCGATGCCAGTTATAATGCCAAGGCAGTGGAGGAGCATCCGCTATCATCGATTAGCTCCAAGGATTGCTATGCCATCAAGACGAATCATGTGTGGGTCTGGTGCGGCCAGAGCAGCACGGGCGATGCACGTGAAATGGCCAAAGCAGTCGGCGCCCTGCTGGGCGAGAGCTCACTGGTGCTGGAGGGCAAGGAGAGCAAGGATTTCTGGCAATCGGTCGCCATGTATTTCAATCAGACGCTGGTCATCAATGGCCAGTCGTGCGCCAGCAGCACAACGAGCAGCAGCAGCAGCGGCGCCGGCAGCATGTGCAACGGCAGCAGTAACGGCGTCGGCGGCAACATCTCGCCCACATTGAGCAACAATTGTTATCTGAACACCACTGTGCCGATCAAGCCGCGTCCGCCAGTGCAGCTCTTTTTGGTCTGGTGGGAGAAGACCAATTTGCGTTGCGAGGAAATACTGGGCTTTGAGCAACAGGATCTCAGCGCAGATTGCACCTACATTCTCGACACGGGCACCTTGGCATATGTGTGGCTGGGCGCACAGGCGCGCAGCCAGGAGCGTGAACGATACACATCCATTGCGCAGAGCTATGTGCAGAATGCACCATTCGGACGACGCTCAGCTACGGCTTTGGCTGTAGTGCGGCAACATGAGGAGCCCAACGTGTTCAAGGGCTTCTTTGAGACATGGGACAATGAGCGCGGCAAGGTAAGGGCTTAATCCATAATATAATAAACCAATTATATGCCAATTACAATTTGTTCTTATTTCTGCAGAATTTCCTCACCTATGAGCAGATGCGCCAGGAACTGGGCACCGTAGCGCCCAGCAACGGTATAAAAGAGGGTTCCGCTTTATTGCTTAACAACAACCAAAAGGATTTCGATGGACACAAAAAGTACCCGTTGCCGGTGCTGGTGCAGGAAATGGATATGCTGCCACCCGAAATCAATCCGCTGCGGCGTGAGGTTAGTTCGGGCAAAAAAACAACATACCCTCTAATATGCATAATTATATTCTCGTTCTTTTCAGGTACACCTAACGCATGATGATTTTGTTTCCGTCTTTAAAATGTCCTTCTATGAATTCGATGAGCTGCCCAAATGGAAAAAGCAGGAACTTAAGAAGCTCTATAAATTATTTTAAGCGAAACATTGTGAAATCGTAGTAGCACACACCCTGTATATAGTACACGTTAATTGGCTTTTTTTTACTCATCTGGAATAGTAATAAAGCAGTTTAAGGTATATTTATTACCCTTCGTAGATTATATTTAAGCACGGTCTTTTATGAATTAATACCAATTATATTATATGAAATATAACAAAAATAGCTGCTGTGGACTTATCATGGACGTTTATTGCGCTTCAGGTTGTAGTTTCCACCTCCGAAGAATCCGGTTCATCATCGCCATCGGAACCTATTGTGTGAAGTGTACATTATTGATGTGTTTGGACTTCAACACACTGCAGAGCACTACTCACTGGGAAATATCAGACCGATTATGAAATCAAATATGCCGCCCAACAGATCCCAAAACATTTTATGTTCGTTATGCCTAACGTTCTGTAACTAAATGACAGCAATTGCCGTTTGGACTATTCGGACTGGACACGCAAGTCGCCGATTTAATGAGCCATAGCCAAAACGCAAAAGTTAATTTTAATCAATCTTGGGCCTACAAATTATACTGAACGATGTGCATGAACTGGATCAAACGCATGCTGATTGAAAAGCTTTTAAAACTAAAATTCAAATTCAAAACAATTTTATTAGCAAATTGGACTCATGTTACGCAATTCTAATCGTAATATTCATCATCATATTCGCCAAAGTATTCCTCATCAGCTTTTAATAGGAAAGAGTAAGAGAGTTAGTTATGAATAAATAGCTAATTTCTGACTTACTGATGTCCGAGAAAAACAAATCGTTAAAGAATCCCAAAAATATTTCCACCAAAGCGCAGCAATCCATTTCTACAGCTTGTTTAAATATTTTTCGGACTTTTCGTGGGTTTTTATAGCTTCAATTTTGAATATTAATTTTTTTTTTTTATGTCTGCAGTAATTAAATTAATGTTTTTTTTTTATTTGTATATCATTGTTGGAATTTTATTTGCAGGAATTTCGAATTAAACTTTATTTATCGTAATCATCAACCGAGCCGTCGTCGTCCTCAGCTATGGAAAGATATAGTTATATTCTGTTGATTGGATTGGATTGGGATTTATTTTGAACTTACAACCAAACAACACTTCGCTTATAAATTCTAATATAATGCCAATAATTTCACAATCCTCCATGTTCCTCTTTGCCCTATAAACGTTTACTAAAATTGGAGCGCAAAACTTTTGGCTTCATATAAATAGAAAAAAATCGTATAGTTTAGCGTTCAACCTTGAAAAATACACACAATTAATGTGCAATATTAATTTAATTTCGTACAATAACGTTACAAATTCAATGTTTAATAATGCATTGCAATAATTGCCCTTGGTAAATTCTTAAAATATAATTTTATTGTACATTTGTACAACCGTACTAATATACATCATAGCCATACATGGGCGCCTCCATGAACGCCTTTTGCTGATCCGTTGAATTGCGGCGTATTCGGCGTCCGATGGGCTCCAGATCCGCATAGCATTTGGGAAAGACGCGCTCGACCGCAGCCACGGCTTGCTCGTGGGTTATGTTACGCACAGCTAGCACCGAGGCCAATGCTTTGGATTTGACACAGTTCTGCAGGATTTAAATAAATTATCATAAGCAATGTAAATAGTTTTTCGATTCATTTCATCAATTTCGCCCACCTGATGCGCCTCCTTGATGTTAAATGGCGATGCATCGCCCTGCATCATGGCGCTCAAAAACGAGCAATGCGCCAGGTTGGCGGCGCGTATTTCTGTGCACGCCAAGTGATCCACATTGCGGAAGTCCAAATCGTTGTTGCAATAGTCAAACATGTGTATCATTTCGTGCGTCAGCACGCCATGCACCATGCTCTTATTTTTGGCCATATTCTGACAGACAACAATTTGATTCAACAATGGATCGTAGCCGCCTGTAACACTGGGATCGCACACTTCGCAGGAGATGTGTCGCCGCAGATCCATTGGGCAGCCGGAGCTGCGCAGTGCGCCCATCATCAGCTTCACGAGCGGACCATTCTTAACGCACCAATAGACGTTCTGTTCGCACTTGTAGCGATCGATGTTCTCCTGACCCTCGAGGCCGAATAGTACGCGTGTCCATTTGGGCTTGAAGGCTTCACCCCGACGCTCCGGATAGAGATCATAACCCCATTCCTTGCGTTCTTTGTTGGGTGGCGCTGAGTCTTTGCTTGCTTTTGTGGTGTTTGTGTCCTCCACGGGTTTGGCATCTGGCAGCACCACAGCTGGAGGCAGTGTGTCCGTTGTCGTTGCTGCCTTGGCCCATACTTGTGTCAGGAAATCCATAATATCACTTGTTTTGCTCTTGTCCCTAAGTTAAGGCAGACAGTTAAATAACAAACCGGCAGCTGATTTGCCGGAGTTGCCACTGTGTTGAAAAATTTGTTGCATGCAGTCCGCATATACGATACGACTTGAACATACCACCTGTGGTACAAATGTACCAAAAGTGGTATTTTGGTAATTACAAGGTACACCAGACCTAATTTTTATAAAATATTAAATTGTTATCATAAGCATAGTACTTTAAAGTAGCAACTGTAGACAAATGGCTCACAAGCTAATTTGTATGTGTTAACATCATTTATTGATTGCAGTATTTTTCTTTAAAGCGCTCAATGAAAATTTGGTATTTTGCTGGCAGCCATATACGTCACACTTATCCGCAGACCGGCATTTACAAGTGTAAAATTTCCACGTAATTCATTGGCAGTGCGCGGACTCAGTTTTTAACATGCGTGAAACAAATCTACAGTTAATATTACTAGCAATATTAACATATACCTTAAACGCAGTTCAATGCGGTGAGGTGCCACGTCCACGCGGTGTTTCACTAGCAAAGGCGGCCCTGTATCAGCCACAGGCGGATGGCAAATGGAGCTGCCTGGATGGAAGCAAAACGATACCATTTACACAGGTAAATGATGATTACTGTGATTGCGCTGATGGCAGCGATGAGCCGGGCACTTCAGCCTGCCCGCTGGCGCAGTTCCACTGCATCAACAAGGGTCATCAGCCTGTGGAAATACCCAGTTCCCTGGTGCAGGATGGCATCTGTGATTGTTGTGATGGCAGCGATGAGTTGCCAGCGGTGGGCTGTGCCAACACCTGCATCGAGCTGGGCGCCGCTGCGGCCATTAAACGTCGCAACGAAGCAGAACTGCACAAGCGGGGTGCCGAGAAACGGCAGGAGATGATATCGCGCGGCAAACAAATGAAGGCGGATCGTGCGGCACGTCGCTCCGAGTTGAATGCGCGGATCAAGGAGCAAGAGTCTTTGAAGGTCGAGAAGGAGCAGCTCAAACAGAACGCTGAAGCTCTGGAAACTGAAGCGGTAGAGGCTTTCAAGGAGCAACAACGAGAGCTGGATGCAGAGACGGCGCAGGCGGAACAGGAGCCACAGCAAATGCGCGTTGAGGCATCCCTCAGCTTTGTGCGCTACGATACCAACAAGGATGGCTTCGTGGAGGTAACCGAGCTGATGGTGGACATGAACCTAGATCGCGATCGCAATGGTGTTGTGACCGTGGAGGAGGCCAGATACTTCCTGGATGAACGTGATCGAGTGGATTTGGATGCCTTCGTTACTTTAGCTTGGCCGCGAATTAAGCCACTGAAAATGCTAGCTGATGGTTTGTTCCAGCCGCCTCAGGCGCCCGCTGAAGAGGAGGAGCTGCCTCAGGCGGCGGACATAGAGGGCGCTGAGCACCACAACCCAGAGCCAAGTGAGGGTAAGCTATATCAGAAATGTATCCAAGTTTGTGTCTAACGACTTGCTTGCAGAACAAGCGGACTTGGAAACTGGTGCTGCCGGCGAAGAAGAAGAGGATGGCGAAGATGATGAGGATCAGTACGACGACGAAGAGCCCGATGTGGGCGTTGGTGAAGCAACACCCGAAGTTGAGACAACTACAGCGGCACCGGCCTACGATCCGGAGACACAGCGTCTCATTGAGCAGGCCAACGAGGCGCGCAATGCATACGAGGAGGTGGCACGTCAAATACGCGAAATCGAACACGAAGTCAAGGAGATTGACGAGCAGGAGGGCAAGGACTATGGCCCGCACGAGGAGTGGGCGGTGCTGGATGGCGAGTGCTATACGTATGAGGATCGCGAATATGTCTACACGCTGTGCCCCTTCGATCGTGTCTCGCAAAAGCCTCGCAACGGCGGCGCCGAGACCACTTTGGGCCGTTGGGATCAATGGATTGGCGAGGGCGCCAGCAAATATAGCCGGCAAAAGTACACGCAAGGCGCTGCCTGCTGGAACGGACCACAACGCTCCGCCATAATCAATATCAAATGCGCAATGGAGCCACGCATTACCGCGGTCAGCGAGCCGAATCGCTGTGAATACTACTACGAATTCGAGACGCCCGCTGCCTGCGATAGCGATGCCTACACTGCCTCCGCACAGAGCATGCACGACGAGCTTTAAAACTGCTATAGCTAAAGATTGATTGGGAATTAACAGAGAGTTTGGCAATTTTCGGAATGTATTCTAGTTTTAAAAGTGATTGAGAGAGGAAGAAGGAAAAATGTAACGTGATTTGCTGATCATTCCCCATAGGTGGCGCTCATTTTGCGAATCAGTCGTAGACAAATATTATTCAGCATTTGCATTTAAGCCAAGTAAAAAGTTTCATTTTTTAAATATACATATATACTACATTCGTATTCGTACAAAAGCGTTTCTATGGCTCCGTAACGGCCAGTTTTATATCCTCCAGATAGCCATCCACCTGATGCTCAAGTGCCAGTATATGGCCCGTGTTGCAATCCTCAGCGCCAACGAATGTCAAAATAACCGGCAATTTGTTCATTTGGACCACCTGCAGGAGTCGGGAGAAGGGGAGGGAGAAAGTTGGTGAGTAGTAAAACTATCTGATTCCATATGGAGTAGGGTGCGTGTTTCCGTGCTCGCATCGTGTGGAACACAAAAAACACGCACCCATCTCTAGCACACACACCCACCTGATAGTTGGAATACATTGATATAATTGTTTTATTGCGTCCCAGGCCCAGTTTGCTGGCCTGATCACAGGCTGTGGTAAATGTGGGTATGAATGATGGCATTAATGCAAAGTCCACATTCTTCTCCTGACTGTGGCTAACTCGCAGCAGCGGCACGCCATCTCGGTCCGTTATCTGTATGACGTAGAGGCCGCTGACCCTGCAAGAAAATCCGATTCGTAATTAGGATGGTGTGTGGGTGCCAGTTTAATAACTGTTGTCAAAAGCACACTTACTTCTGCAGCAGACCGTTGAAGTACTTTTTTATGTCGTCGGACATGTCGCTGCTAACAATAAAAAAAAATATATATTATAAAAATTCCAATATTGTTTTGTTCTTAGCTAAAACCAAAACAAACATGAAATAATGGACTAAATTTGCTCAAGCGGCTACAAAAATACCAAATTAAATACCAAGCAAAACGGCAATGAATGTATGGGCACAGTGGCCCACCAGCTAAGTTCCGTTATTTGTATGACGTTAAGGTCACTGAACTTGCAATGTAATTTGTACGTAGAACGGAAGGGTGCCCATTGTACAAATAACGAATGAAACTAAAATAACACTAACATATGCAGCAGGTTGATTAAAAAGTATTTATATCATTAAGCATTGGAATAATAAAATTATAATAATACCAATATTCTCATGCAGCAAAATCAAAACGAACAAAAAATTGCCTAAATTTGCCCCAAGCCAAAAATACCAAACTAAAGGCCAGACAAACTGGCAATGTACGTGTTTTGTTTAATATATAAGAGGCTTTAATAATAGATAAAATAATAATAAGCGGCAACTTAAACATTCTTTTAGGGTATCCAATATGATGGCTGCCAGTGCAACCAATGCCAGCAAGGATAAGTCCGTTCTGGACGCAGCTGAAGCTGATGACGACTACACCTCGGCCATGTCGCACCTGACGATTGGCGTACAGATCCAGGAGCTGTCGAAACGTCTGCAGAACACCACCGAAGAGCTGCATCAGCAGGTGCGCGACAAGCATGGTGCACTGCTGCAGCAGGCAACCCACGCCGGCCGCTTTGATGCCGCACTCAATTCGCTGGCCGAGGATGTGCAACGCGTGCGCGCCACAGGACATCGCCTGAAGTCCCAAGTGGACACGCAATACCAGCTGGTGGAGAACCAAACCCAAGTGCTGGGTCGACTCCATGAGGTGTCACATCTGCTGCGCTCGGCAGGCACATTGCTCACGTTAACGGCCAAGCTGAAGAATACCAAAGATGTGCTGCGACAGGCGGAGCTGCACTTCGAGCTGGGTCAGCTGATCGAAGACAAGGAACTAAAGGACATCGAGTTTATACAGGAGGAGCGCGCCTATGTGTTAAGTTCTAGGCAAAAAATACGAAACTTAACGCAGATGCAGTTGGTCACGGGGCTGCAAGAGCGCAACCAAACGCAGGTGGTCAACGCTCTGAAGGTGAGTTACTGGTCAATATGTTCTAAAGCCTCTAAGTAAACTCAATCGTATTTAGATCTTTATGAACTTTAACACGCTGGAGAAATCACTTGAAAATCTGCTGGCCACGTTCATAGCAGACATGGAGCAATCGCTCAAGGAGTGCTTTGCCGGCACCGACATATCCGTGCTCAACAAGGCAGATGCCATGCGCTCGCCCACGCATGGTGGCAACGGTGCAACCAAGTCTGGAGCGGCGCGTGGTCCCGGCAAGGCGCCACAACTGACAACGACCCAAAATTTTCGCGCCAAATTCTGGAAATCGCTGCACTGGCTGCTCTACGACGAGCTCTATGAGAGCTGCACACAAATCAAGCTGCTGAAAACGGCGCTGGAGCATATCAATCAATTTGGCTACACCAGCGAGTCGTCGGATCAGTGCATTCCACAGCGCTTCTGGCAGCGTGTGCAGCAGCTGCTGCGTAAATCCTTTGACGAGTGCTCACAGCATGTCAACCAGACGCTCCAGGAGGGCCTGTCCAAGCTGCTGACCTCGGCACGTGGCCTGGAACAGCGGCTAAATAATGAATTCCAGTTCGACAACGAACTCTTTGCGCCCCTCGAGGTCGGCTATGTGAGCAAGTGTGCTGCCAATCTGAAGGCCTGCTTGGCGGGCGTCGATTTGCCCGGCAATGAAACTGTCGATAATTTCATACGTGTCGCATCGACGGAGCTGAGCGCAGCGCTCATTGACAGCCGGCTCAGCAATGCGATTGCCAATGTGTTTATTGTTTGCGGCAAGGAGCTGTGCACCAAGCTGGAAGCACAAATTAAGCTGGGCGCTGACTCCAAGCAGGTCGTCGATTTGCCCAATTTGCAACAGCAGCAGAACACGCAACTGGCGAATGTGCTGTACTATTACAAGGATTCAGTGCGTCGCATGTTGAATGATCTGCAGCTGCAATTCGAGAAAACGCCGGGCGCAGCACGTGCGAACATAGCGCGCTCCTTGGAGCAGGCGGATCTTTTAATTGGCACCATATTGCAGCAGATTATGGAATCGATTATCACAGCTATAAGCATTATCATACTAAGCATGCATCGTGAGCCGGGCCTCAATACGGACAGACTGGCCACAACCGGTCCATCAATGTACATGAAGGAGCTGCAGGTGCATATGATGAGTTAATCCTTTGCCTCACATAACTATACAAATGTATGATTATTCTTACAGGAGTTCGTCAGCCGCTCCTGGTCACACCATATTGAACTGTTTGATGATAAGGAGATGACCAGTAAATGTGGCCAGGAGCTGGCCAAGCGCTGCATTGAGCTCTTCATACACAACCTATGCATTTTGCGTCCCTTGAGCAGCGCTGGCAGACAGCGCCTGAAGCAGGATTGTCTGCACATGGAGCAGGCACTTAAACCACTTTGTCCCAACTTCGCTGAGCTGGGCAAACCGTCGCGCTTGCTGCGTGCCATGTCCCTGCTGATTGTGCAGAGCCCAGAGGAGCTGGTGAAACAAACGGTTGGTCCGGACTCCCTGGTGCCCAGCTATATAGTACTGCTGCTCCTGTTTGGACATGCTGGCACCGAGCTGCAATCACCACACACCACTGCAAATTGGTCAAATGAGCGTTTGATCGAATGGCTAGACGGGCATACAGCAGAGCGCGAAAAGTTGGAGCTTATATCCGGGGCACTGCAAAGATATCGTGACAATGCCAGGCGCAAGAATATTCAACAATACGATGAAATATATCCCATGATGGTGGATTATTTTGAGCTGGCCTTAAAGGCAATCTCATAATTTAATCAGCCAATTGTAACCGCATTAATTTTTAAATAAATTATATTACCTGACTAGCTATTCGTTACTCGATAACAATCGCATACATCGTTACCGATAACTTCATACGCCAATCGACAGCACGCTCACTAGAAGTGACATCACTGACTAGACACACCATTTTGTTTGAGAGAAAAAATCGTGGAAAACGTTTCGCTGTGTTAACCTGACTGTATAAGTAATTATTAGTAATAAAATAACTGTTAAGCTACAACAATGGACAACATTGAGCGTCTTTATAAATGCTACGAAATACTATCCGAAGCGGGAGATAAAATAACTGAGGTAAGCGCCATTAAAAAAGACGCGTCAAATGAACGGTAGTTGCCATATACATGTACATGTGAGTGTGTGAGTGCGTGCATGTGTGTACACAAGTACACGAGCCTGCAAATTGGCATCCGCGCCGGCGCCAGTTAAAAAAAACAGTTAAGAAATCTATAAACTGTTTGCCTTTTTAATATTTTCAGCATGTTGCGGAATACAAAGAGATATTACAGGCCGTAAAAGGCACATCGAAGGAGAAGCGTTTGGCTTCGCAATTTATTGGCAACTTTTTTAAACACTTTCCGGAACTGTCAGACACCGCAATCGATGCACAGTTCGATTTATGCGAAGATGATGATACACAGGTGCGTCAGTCAAATAACAGTTAACTTTGTGATGCTGAAAATTAAATACCCTTGCCGGGCATACATAACCTGGAATACATAGCTTGTGTTATAGTATTCACAAAGAAAGAATTACAAAATAATACCCTGTGATAATTAGAAAAATGTTAATTGCATATTTGTATGGCCACTTTCAGATACGCCGCCAAGCCATCAAAGATTTGCCCAAGCTATGCCAGGGCAATGCCGAAGCTACCGTCCGCGTGGGCGACACACTGGCCCAGCTACTAATTCTGGACGACGCAACCGAGTTGCAGCAAGTGAACAACTCGTTGCTCAGCATCATTAAATTGGACACGAAGAGCGCCATAGCTGGTTTGTTTCAGCAGATAACCACGGGCGATGAGCCAACGCGTGAGCGTTGCTTTAAGTTCATTGCAACCAAACTGTTGACAATGGGTCCGACTGTCATAACCAAGGAAATCGAGGATTATATTGTGGAGGAGGTCAAGAAGGCATTGCAGGACGTGACAGCCGATGAATTTCATCTATGTATGACAATATTGGGTGCGACCAAGCTGGGCAACACAATTACCGGTCATGCCGAATTGGTCAAGTTGGCAACGGAACAGGCTGAGCTAAATACCGTCGATACGGATGCCATAGCTGTTGACGATGAGGTTGTGGAACGTTTCATACAATGTGCCACGGCAGCAGCACCTTACTTTTCGGTAAGCAAACAACTTGCAGTAGTTACAATCAAATCCATTCATGCTATTTTAATTGTAGAAAACGATTAAATCAACACAATTCGTGGCCTATGTTTGCGATAAACTGTTGCCAATAAACACATGGAATTTGATTGCCACCGCAGTCTCACAGGATCAGATACAATTGCGTTTGCTTAAAGTATTCGCCGAGATGATAACCAACACGGATAAACTAGAGAATGCCAACGAACGCATTAATGCCGTGTACAATGTGCTATTGGTGGGTTTTTATGGTTTGGCTTTATCGGAAAGTGTGCCAACTTAATGTTTAATCCTATTTTACAGGAATACATGCCCTTGCCAAAGCTGAGCGACGAGGATACGGTAGATACGCCACCCTCATTTCAATTCTCGCATGCTGAGTGTTTACTTTATGCATTGCACACGCTGGGCAAGAAGCATCCAGGCAATTTAATGTTTGTTGAGGATGCCGAAAAACTAAAAGACTTTCGTGCTAGATTGCAATATCTAGCGCGCGGTACACAGGGGTAAGTGCCATATGCATAAGGCCATACAAGTTATTCCCTAACTTATTTTATTCTTCAGTTACATTAAGAAACTGGAGGAGGCTCTTAAAGGCAAGTCAGCCGAGGAACTGAAAACCGAGGAGAATCAATTGAAGCAAACGGCTTTGAAGACAACATCAAACATAAATATTCTGATACGTGATCTATTTCATTCACCGCCCATATTCAAACATGACATTGTGCTCTCCTGGGTTGTGCCCAAAAATGTATGCATTTTCATAAATTTCCTTACTATCAGATTTAGATGTTTAACTGCTTTGCAGACTAAGCTTGGCAAACGCCATGCGCCCATCACATTTGGCGACAAGGGCGCCGCCAATGGTAATCAGGAGCATGAGGTGCAGGATAAGAAATCGCGGCCATCCAATGAACAGAAATTCTACTCGCCGCCCTCGGGAAAATATTCGGGAAAGGTGAATTCCAATTATGGCAACAACAATCGCGCGCGGCAACGTGGTGGCGGCGGCGGCGGTGGAGGCGGCTTTAGGAATCGACGCTACAACAGATATTAGATGCAGCGCAGCAACAACAACTTTCCCATCCTAGTCGTTAAACAACATGAAACAACACAAAAGAAAAAAAGAAAGATAACGAGAGATTATGAAAATTCTCTAATCACGTCCCGCGTAAAAATAAACCGCTTGCAAAACTGACACCAATCCTGGCTATAGACGGAACAATCTGATCCATTCGCACACAAACGGGTGAGTATCGAGTGAGCTTTCATTGTAATTGTCTACCTTTGATATATTTCAGAGCCTGCAAATCAGCAACAAATTAAATGCAGTTCTTTTAACAATTCCTTTTAATTTGCTTATTTTTGAAACACACAACATGTTTGCAAATTTACGCGTGATATTTTAAAACAACGCCACGCTCACTCACGTCTCACACAGTTTTATTTTGTCTTGGCTGTGCACGTTGTTTTATCATATCAGGCATTATTTATCAACTATCCAAATGCCTAGCTGTAATAATATAAAATAGTTTGTAAACAATTTGCAATATCTTCTGCTAATCATAAATAATCAACTCCAGTTACAAAAGTAAACAACAATTGAAGTCAGTTCCCCCACCCTGTATGAAAGATATTCGCAATCTCGTATTAACTGTTTTTCGAGGCACAAGATTTACAAACATGTACAAAAGAGTTTGTCAAATCCTTTAATTCACAAGCATAAATAATTATTATTCTTTTTTGGTTTACATATATGCCTCACAATTGTACAACGTAGCGCAACAGCAACAGAAACAAGAAAAAAAATATGCGAACATATTAAATTTTGAATTTCAATAAAACGAAAATTACAAAAATTTGGTTTCGATAGAAACTAAACCAAAATATAGTTTTCGTATGGAGTTTTGTGCGAGGAAAACTTGAGCTAATGTATTTTGATGAAACTTTGTTAAGGAATTGTTTTATATTCTTCCGCTTTAATTCAGTTCGTTGTGGAAAACCCCTTTTTATACATATATATAGCTCCCGACTGATTCCAGTACAAACAAAGTTTTAGAAATTGCAATCCCCGATTGGTTTGTATTTCGAAACCAGTAAACGAGGCACTTTGTGTGTGTTTATTTATTTATTAGCAATTATAAATATATGTGTATATATGTGTGTGTGTGTGTGTGTATTGTAAGCCTTTTTAAACATTAACACAATTTATTTCAGCTTAAAACAAAGTACATTGTATATTGCGCTCGAATCGCGCTCGGTTAACTCTAAAACGATGCACACACACCTAGATGCTTGGCGGCGGCTGATTGCCCGGCTGTTCGCCATCGGGTGGACTGGGGGCTCCCGGCTGCCGCTGCTGTTGCTGCTGCTGTGCACCCACCAGCTGTGTGGCGAAGCTCTGGAACAATTGCAACATATCATTGGGCATGGCCGGCACCTGGGCCGGTGGAACACCCGAGCCGGGTGCAGCAGCTCCCGGTGCACCGATATTGGAAAACAATTGTCCAATGGCGTTCATGACCATCGGATTGTGTGTCATCGATTGCAATTGCTCCAGATCGATCTCGGCGCTGCTAAACAAATTGCGCACTGTGGGATTGGACAGCATGGCGTTGAGGCCATCGCTCAGATGCGACAGCTGGGGCGGCTGATTGCGTGCATTGCGCACCACCTCCAGATTGTTTCGATAGTCGGCGTTGTCCGGCTCCAGTTCAATGGCCTTGGCATAGGCGTGCTCCGCCTCATTGAATTTGCCCAGATTGGAATAGGCGACGCCCAAGCGGCAATATGCCTTGCTATAGTTGACGTTATAAAGCAGCGCCGATTTGCAGTCGGTGACGGCGCGTTCGTTGTCGCCCAAACGAATATGGGCCGCGGCTCGGTTGCAATAGAAAATCGGATTTTTCGGGTCAAAGGTGATGGCGCGATTGTATTGCAACAGCGCCTCATTGTATTTGCCATCCTTCATCAGGCGATTACCCTCATTTTTGATGGATTCAGCCAAGGCCAGCGATTCGGGATTACGTTCAATGTACAGCGACTGGAAGAGCTCAAACATGTCAATGTTCTTTGTATTGAAGGCAACCTGGCTACCGCTGCTGCCGGCTGCAGCTGCATCGCCGCCCGGCGCTGTGCCCGTGCCGCCGCCCGCAGCACTGCCAGCGGCAGATGCTGTTGTGCTCTGTGTTGAAGCCGTTAGCTCTTCCGGCTCATCATCGCCCACATCGAATGCGGCTTGTAGGCATTGTATGGCCACCTCAATGCTCTCGCTCTGATCCGGCGACATCACGTCGACTTGCTTCTTCAAGTAGTCAATGAAGGAGCGCACAAAGCTCTGCTGCACTGCGTCCGGCATTTTTATAATTTTTTTTTATAGTATTTACTTTGTTCTATCCTTATGGAAATTCACTTATGTGGCTTATTGAGCTCCTCTGCTACACACAATGAAAATCTCTGAACATGCGACCGACCGATTTATAGAGGCGAACCAAATCTCTAGGGTTGCTCTGTTAAGGCACGATAGCTGTCAGCGTTGCCAGACTGTGTGTGCTGCAAATGACTAGCAGATTTTTCTGTCTCGGTTATCGTTATCGAGCGCGTGAAAAACTCGTTTTTGTTGTTGTTGTTGTTGGCCAAAGTTGGGAGCAAGCTTGCAAGCTTTTTGGCAGCATGCAACAAAAGACTTTTCATTTAAACGCTCTCTGGCACTGTTGGCGTTGGCGTGTTTTGACTTGTGCGCGTCTTGCCAACTTGTTGTTTTTGTTGTTGTTGTCGTGGCGGAATTATTGCTGCTCTGTGTGTATATAATAACAAAACGAAGTGCTTATTCAAAATTACTTTCGAACATATGTTGAGGCATTGCCAAAATTAGCAGCACAACTAGTTTCGGCAGTGCTTGTGCTCGTCTGCGCGCGTGTGTGTGTGTGTGCGTGTGTGTAAGCTTCTCATAGTGACGTCAGTCTTCCTTTAGCACAAATCCTTTGCCAGTTTTCGCCTTTGGCGCCAGCATGGTGCGTTGGAGTGCACGGTCGCGTCGGGCCCGCCAGGACCAGGTGGAGCTGCTCGCCAGCAATAATAAAATTGGCGACGATGACAACCCCGATAACGGTGAGCGACTAAAAGTAACGGTATCTTCGGCTGCAGCTTGTTCAAAACAAATCGCTTCTAAGCTTCATTCACATAGATGCTTGAAATTACATAGATGCTTTCTTGTTGCTGTTTTTTTCTTCTTCTAGCTGCCTATCGCAATTCCGGGGATCTCTCGGACACGGATGAAATCTTTCTTAAGGGCCTTTTGCTCAGCAATCCATCAACGCCCCATAAGGAACTTATGGTATGTAATACACACCTTTAATACTTTTCTTTTTGGTCGCATGACCTAGATCCAGATTCATATGAGTCCAAACCATCTGCTAATACCGGCGCGTTCAATAAGTAGAAAAGAACGTACGCTATTTTTTTCTTCACATTATCGAACATTGCGCGCAGACAAGAAAAATCTTTGTTTACACATAGACACACACACACACACATACATAAGTATGTACATACACTTGGCGAAAACTTCGTTCTGAATGCTAGTGTGAAGTGGTTTAAATTATTTAATTGGATTTTCTTTAATATTTCAAGTACATTTTGTTACTGATTCTTGAATAATGCATTAGTTGATTTGGTAATTTACCTTTAACTAAAGGTTTTATAACTATAAAAACAGCATAACAAATTAAATTAGATTAAAATGTCTCGGAATTGAGGCCTATATATCTCTTAATGATCTTAAGTAAAGAATTTCATAACGACTTTCTAACCTCGAACGAACTTTAAGAACTTTTAAGTATATAGTTCGTAAAGTTTTCTTTAAGTGTATACATATGCGTACACATGCTTGTATGTATGGTTGGCAAAGCTTACCCTTTTCTTTATTGCATCATTTCCCCAACTATTTCACGCCCGATTACTTACAGTGCATGAAAAAAGTAAACGGGCGAGGAGTGCAGAAGCTTTCACTTGAGCATAATGCTGGGCTATAGAAAGATATACTAAAGCTGGGCAAGTACTTGTCTTGCCCTTTGTTCTCTTTGATTAAGTGCGAAATACTCGAAATACTCGAAATACTCGAAATACTCGCGAGATGAGACTTTTATGATAATCATTATGGCATCGCAATTAACACAATTCCCTTTTCGCTTGTTTTCGCATTAAACTTGACCTTATTGTCTGGCGAAATTATATGTGAATTAAATTATGTAAATAATTGAATAATAATTGAATAATAAGGCCAAGCTATTGATTTTCTTTACTCATCGCAATTAAAATGCCCATAAAAATGCAGAGCTAATTAAATACGTCAAACAATATTTTCTTTTTCAATGGGCCTTTGTTTTTCGGGCAAAACTGGCTAAAAAAAAACAACAAACACGCAAAAGCCAACAAAGAAACGAACAACAAAAAAATCAAAAGCGACGTCGCGTGTCGCGAATAATTAGAATAAACATTTGGCATGAGGTACGAGGTACGAGCTGCTTATTACACTGACCCGTTGTTGAGAAAGGCAGTGAAAGTAATTACAAATTACAAGTCACGAGACTTGCTGATAAGCAGAAATCTAACAGAAATGTCACTCCGAAATTCCAGACGCCTATAAGAAGCACAAACATACGACGACAACAACAACATCTACGCCCTAAGAAACGGGCAGCGAAGCTTTACAAACTGGTTTTCAAATGGATTTTCAAACAAAATGCGCATGCATGTGTTAATTATGAAAACTTTATGTTACCTGGCCACAAAAAAAAAAAAAAAAAAAAAACAAAGCCAACAAATGCACAAGAGCAGCGGCAGAGTGGTTGGCCTACTAATGCAAAAAGCTCAGAGAGCGGCTTGTCTGAGCTGCTGTTAAGCGCGCGCTGTTAACTAACAGTGGTGCTATACAGAGGCGTACAGTTGTAACGTCAAGACCAATAAGACAGAACAAGTGCCCCTGCACTAATACTAATGCGCGCCACTAAGAGCGCCAACTAAGCTCACACTTACATATGCTGGGCAGTTAGCCCTAGTGTGCGCGCTCTCACTCTCATAGCACGCACACCCAACTGCTTAGCCGAACGCGGTTTCTATGTGAGTCAGTTACTTGCGAGCTGTGCTAAGGTGAGGTTCTGCTATTGTTGCGTGCGCTTGGTGGCGAGTTTTGTGTTGTTATGCTTGTGTGCGTGTGTGTGTGTGTGTGTGTGCGCGCGCTTTGCTCATTTGAGCATGGCTTAAACGGGGCAGCGGCTCGACAACAAATATGCAACAGTTAATTTTGAATACTCGCTCGCCGCTTGACGCGCGCTCTCTCTCTCTCTCTCTCTCTTTCTCGCGATCGTCGCGCTCATTTATTTCTAACTTAAAGACGCTTTTAATGTAAAGTAAACGGTTTTCCATACATATACCTGTAAAAGTGATTGTTTTTATGTACTTGTTGTAGTATATGTGCCATTAAGTAAATAGAGCAAATTGGAACAAGTGTTTTGGCCATGTGCTACCTTGGTTACTCAGTCAATAACAAACCCAAGTCCAATTTTAGCCTGGCTAACTGGTATTCGACGTCTCACTTGATGACGTAGTCGCGTCTGGTTTGAAGCGGTGCGGCTATCGTCTCGTCTATTGTGTAACGTCTTAACTGTGTTTTGGCATTTCCAAAATCGTGTGTGTTGCATACTCACACACACACACACACACACAGACACACACATGCACAGCGACAGACAGAAGCTCACTCTCCGGCTTACTCACACAGACACTTGCACACCTTTTGGCCTGCTGTCACGCTCCGCTCTTCTTGGCTTCAACGCTGCGCTCGCTCGCGCGTTTTGGGAGTGGCTCCAAAAAAAGTGAAAAAATGTACAATTGAAAAACGAAAAGTGCTTGCTTAAAACTAAATAAATTAAATAAAAATATTGGTTAAATTGGATTAAATGAAGCGCAATAAGAACTTTAAAGGTTTCTCCAATAAGAAGTCAAGTTTTTAGGTTACATTTCTTAAAGATACGTCAGTTGCTTTCAACGTTTAGCCTTCGCACGTAGAGTATGTCAAAGAAGACAAAAAATATGAAAAACTTCATTGTTGTTAATTGTGTGTGTAATTAACATAAGAGTTTTGCCCAATTAGACGTTACCTGTTGAAATTTTTGCGCAATTTGTTATGACAACAACTAGCCAAACTCTAAGGTGAAAGCCCTTTGCGTTAGCAACCAGCAACAAGAACAACAGCAACAACAGCAACAAGAACAACAGCAACAGCAACAACAGCAACAGCAAAGCTCAGTGTCAATAACAGTTGTCATTCGTGTGTGTGTGTGTGAGAGAGTGCGTATGTGTGTCTCTGTTAGGGCGTGCAGAGGAAGCTCGCTGTGGGGCTTCCTTTCACACGGAAGAACTGTAATTCGATATGCGCCAGACAACTATCTGTAAATAAATAAACAATAATCGCTGCTTAGAGATAACGCTGAGCTTTTGTCTGCATAAAAGCATAGAAAGAACTGAAAGCCTAAGTATATTGGTTTTAAGGCTTAACATTCAAGCTACAAGTCCAATTGGAACTGTTCCGTTCTAAATAAGAACTTACTGTAAAAGAATGGTTCAGAACTAAATGTAATGGGAACTGCACTGTACACCTTGAATTTAAGGCACACTTTAAGGAATATTCGGGAAAATTGGAAATTAGGAAAATTGGGGGAATGGGCTTAGAAATGGGGAAAATAGATTGCCGAACAGGCTATAAATTTCCTCTAGCGGGTCGATAATTTCCCATTACTAACTCTTTAGCCCATCTACTTAACACTCTATAGATATATATATAGCATAAATTTCTTTACTTTTTTAGTACTTTCTTTTCTATCTTTTTTTCTATTTTATGTTATAAAATAAAGAATATTATTATTTTTTCTGTTAACTGACAAAATTAGCTCTGTAAAGGGGCATATGTGGAAGGACATCGTGTCGCTGATGCTATTATTCTAATTAAGGCTAAATGTTAGATTTAATTTTCATAATCTTTTGCATTTTCGGCCAAGGAAAAGTTCTGTCTAAGGGAACTGTTCGTTCGTAGAACTTTTCAATGAAATCATAAATTTTAAGAAAATGTTAATTTTGATGATATATCTTTCTATCTCGCCAAGCTTCCGTTCGCATCGAACTAATATAATTTCCTGCAATTCAGCAAAGTACATTGCGTTTCTAGAGAAATGGAAAACTTTTCCCTGGCTTATAAATATTGCATGAGTGAGTCGCTCTACCGTGGGCGGAAACTGTGGCAGAGACATAAGAATAATAATAATAATAAATACAGAAATACACAAATACACAAATAACAAAGAGCAGAGAGACACAAGGGATGAGTTGGCGCCGTCCGACGTTGGAAAGTAAATAAATTTCGCAAGACTAAAGTGCCGGAAGACGCGAATTAAATGCAATTAAAGCACTAAAAATGCACTTTTCTGAGAAGGGGTTCTAGGCGCGACCCAAATTTGTCGCACAAACGACCCAATTTTTGACCTAAGACTCAAAGCAAGTCGTTGAGTTAAAATGGAACAGACCAAAGTTCACAGAGGTTAAATGGGCTAGACCATAAAAGAGAGCGTGAGCGAGAGAGGGAGAGCGAGAGCGAGAGCAAATGCTGCCAAAAAATTGTACAATTAACGGATGCGAACGTCAATTAAGCCGAAGCATAAATGACTTGACCTAGGGCAGTGAGACGATGAGCTGAGTCTGTGCCCAACTTAATTTAATTATGCGTACATGTTTGTCTCTCTTTCACGTATCGCTCACATTTCTATTCGTTTTTTTTAGCTGAATCCAACCGAGCCGCAGCCAGTGCCCGCCTTTCTGCCCGCGCATCTGAACAACAAGCCGATCTGTGACGATATCATACGTAAATTCTCGCCCTCGCGACGTTTGGAATCGCGCGAGCTAGCCAAGCTCCTGGCTCAACCTCACTTTCGTGTAAGTATTGAGAATATTAAGTATGAGAATATGGGAAAATGTGAATTCAATACCCGATTTCCATTCAGAAAGGTCGCCACACCTAATTTTTCCGAAAATCTTTTCTTCTCGAATCAAAAACAGTTTTCTTACAACCTTTTTCATCTACTTTCGAATCTTCCAAATGGAGTTTTCAGAAACCCTGGCTATATGTTCATTTACATCATAAAACGTAACTCTGGTAAAAATTTCAGGTTTCCAGTTCTTAAGGTTTAGTCTGTGCATCGATCATCAATCAGTTCGCCCATCAATCAGTCAGTCACAACGAGTTGAACAAAAGCTCTTGTGTGGCCGCCTTAGCTAAGCGAAAGCTTTCTAAGCTTTTAACGCAGACTCAAACTCTCTCTCTCTCTCTCTCTCTCTGTCTCTCTCCAGGCTCTGCTGCGTGCTCACGATGAGATAGGATATTTGTACGAGCAACGTTTGAAAAGTGCCGGTGGATCCATAACAAAACTCGAGGCGACAAGTCAACGCCAGTCGGGCGGCTATCTCTATACGGAAGACATACTGAACAGCAAGATGCCAGTGGAGACCATCAAGATGGTTGGACTGCGTCGGGATCCCAAGCAGCCGCTGGGCCTGACCGTCGAGCTGGACGAGTTCAAGCAGCTGGTGGTGGCGCGCATCCTTGCCGGCGGAGTCATCGATAAGCAGGGCATGCTCCATGTGGGCGATGTTATACTCGAGGTGAACGGCACACCGGTGCGCACGCCCGACGACCTCCAGGTGGAGGTGTCCCGGGCCAAGGAGAATCTCACGCTCAAGATCGGACCCAATGTCGATGAGGAGATCAAAAGTGGTCGCTATACGGTCAGTGGGGGTCAGGTAAAACAGAATGGCATCACAAATCTTGAATCGGGCAAGAAGCTAACGGTAAGTTCTATATGTGTGTTTTTAAAGAAGAAAAAGAATTTGCTACTTTTTTGCATGGATTTTCATACAAGATATTTTTGTCTAGCTGTTTTGCCAACTACAGTGGTCACTTGCTAAAGAAAACCCTTACCTATAAATAAATCAATTTCAAAAAAATACAAAAATAAATATTAAAAATTTTTAACTAACATTCAAGATATTTATGCTAATTAGCTAACGATTCTGGTTTCTGAAAAATTCAAGTTTTCGAGCGACCACTGTACTTAAAATTTTAATTGATTTTCCTTTAGATGCATATTTAATCTCAAATGATATATGTTAGTTCTCTTTAGACCAAGATCCTAACTAAATTCTAAAACACCTGCATTTAAGTAAGTAAATCCTAGTGCTAAGCATAATTAAATGGCAGTTTTTTATATAACTTAAATCCATGCTTATCTAATGAAACTTTTAAATCTCTTAGTGCTATATGCGCGCCCTGTTCACATATAATCCGTCGGAGGATTCGCTGCTGCCCTGCCGGGACATTGGTTTGCCCTTCAAATCGGGCGACATATTGCAGGTGCGTCAGAATTTCAGATTTTGATGTAGAAAAGAAATGCATTTTTGTATCATTTCCTTTAGATTATCAATGTGAAAGATCCCAATTGGTGGCAGGCAAAGAACATAACCGCCGAGTCGGATAAAATTGGTCTGGTGCCATCGCAGGAGCTCGAGGAGCGGCGCAAGGCGTTTGTGGCGCCCGAGGCGGATTATGTGCACAAGATTGGCATCTGTGGCACGCGGGTAGGTTCAACTTGAGCTGAGATGGTCTCCGGCTGGCACTCTATATGGATGCTCCACAGATATCGAAGCGCAAGCGGAAGACCATGTATCGTTCGGTGGCGAATTGTGAGTTCGACAAGGCCGAGCTGCTGCTCTATGAGGAGGTCACTCGCATGCCGCCGTTTCGCAGGAAAACTCTGGTACTGATTGGCGTCTCCGGCGTGGGCAGACGCACGCTCAAGAATCGGCTGATCAACAGCGATGTGGACAAATTTGGCGCCGTGATTCCACGTAACTAGTAGCAATTGTCCAGCTGCTTGAATTAAAATTAATCCTGCAAATTTGTAAAACAGATACGAGTCGCCCGAAGCGCGCCTTGGAGGAGAACGGCGTTAGCTATTGGTTCATGGATCGCGAGGAAATGGAGGAGGCAGTCAAGCAAAACGAGTTTCTCGAATATGGCGAACACAATGGCAATCTCTATGGCACCCATTTGCAGTCGATCAAGGATGTGATCAATAGCGGTCGCATGTGCATATTGGACTGTGCGCCGAACGCCTTGAAGATACTGCACAATAGCCAGGAACTGATGCCATTTGTTATATTCATTGCGGCGCCGGGCATGGAACAGCTGAAAACTATCTATGCCGATCGCCGTGCGACCGGCTCCAATAGAAATCTATCTGTATGTTTAGAGAGCTATAACTGTGCCTAGCTAGTCGTAGCTTAGAAACCGCTAACTTTGTATACCTATTCCAGTTCGATCGTCAGAGCTCCATACGCTTCAGCTCCAGGCGCGCACGCACTCTCGAGTCGCTGGCATCGCTCTATGAGGTAAATGTCAGCTACAACAGCCTGCGATCAGATCGTGTGCCTTCTAATGTGCGCGTCATGTCCACCGTCCCTGCACGCATTAGGCCACCTTTGTAGCGCTCCTAGATCTCTGCTTGAATACACAAACATTGCTTAACACATCTCATTATCGGTATCATTGTCAACAGGACGACGATCTCATTTCGACGGTGGAGGAGAGCAGCTTTGTTCAACGCAAATATGAGAAATACTTCGATATGGTCATTGTCAACGAAGATTTTGACGAGACGTTCCGTCAGGTGGTCGAGACCCTGGACCAGATGAGTCACGAGGAGCAGTGGGTGCCCGTCAATTGGATCTACTAGAGCGTGCAGTGCAAACGAAAGCTTCTATATATATAGTATCTATTGTATTCCAACAAACGAAATATCTTCTACATATGCAATATTGTATAATTTAAAAAAAAAAAGGCCCTCCGCTTGATTTAATTTGGTTTCCTTAAGCTTAAGTCTAATGTTATTGTATGAAACGAATTCGTCCATTTGCAAGCTGTTTTTCATTTGCATGCTACTTATTTTAATTTTTATATATTTTTTAAAAACGGTTTTCCATGCATTTCATAAAGGCAACTTTTTGCTTTCTAGCAATTTTACGTATATTATTGAATGAATCTCTCGAGTACAACCGATTCTTTTACATATAATTTTAGTAACCAAACTCTGCCAATATTTTCATGATAGTTTTTAGTTGAAATACGTTTTGTTTGAGTAAAATGTCGAAGTTTGTGCGATAATTAGCAAAATGTTGATGACAAATAAATGTGTGCATTTGGCTCAAAGAAATTTCGCGCTACAGTTTCTCCACATTGTGAAGCAAGGGCTGTTACGTTTTTATTATAAGATGGTAATGTGATAAAGTTTTTGATTTATCTAGAGATAAATGCCCAACGATTTCTCCACAACGGCATGCGGCTGGCGCAAGTTCTCATTGTACTCGGGCAGGTTGAGGAAGTCTTCGAATGAGATTTCATCACAGCGTCCAGTGATCACATCGTCCATCATGTTGCTGCAAAAGTGATATATATACATATATATCTGATTAAATACTCTATGTTGGTGCTCACCTGGACTGCAGAAAGGGCAGTCGGCCTATTTGGCGTGCGGCAAAGCGTTCCATGCCCATTCGTAGGGGTGCGCCCAGACCCTCGCGATTTCGCAGCATTTGCATGTTCAAGTTATACTTGTGATCATCATAATGCAATTCCGAGTCGCGCAAACGATGAACGTGCGCCAATTGGCTTAAACAGTTCTGGTCCGTGGGCAGCCTCGCCTTGCCCGTGGCGTTCAGCACCTGCACGTCTGATGGGCGAACTTTGAGCGATTGCTGATTCTGTTGAGCGAAGTGCACATTCGTTAATATGCCTGGCTGGCATAATTTGGCTAACTACTTACCATTTTATATGGAAATTTTTGAAATTACGCTCAGTTTTGCTATAAAACACTTCGCAATGACAAAACACAATTCAGTTTGACTTGAAGTTAGCTGCGCGTGATTTTTTAGTTGATTTCAAAAAACGCGTTTTTATGCCAGGTGGCAACTAGAAACGATAACGATCAATTTTGTTATCGATACGAAATAAATACGCTTGGAGTGCATTAGCAAGCAGCTTTTGTCTGTGGACCAAATGTAATGAATTTTCCGTTATATTTGAAATATTTGCTCAATTTCAAAACTGACTGAAGATTTGCGCGCCTACTTTGAATGTTTGAATCAGAATGAAATGAGATGAGGTTTTTTTTTTGTCGAGCATGCACAGGCGATGTTATGTTTAATTTTTGCCTTGATCAAATGTCCGAATCTCGTGCTCGACACACTCGACTCTGGCGCACTCTAATCAATTCAATAAACAAATCACAATATTTTTGTGTTTTTGTGAAATCGCCCACACCTTTTAGCGGCTTTTATGATCCGCTGCTCCACAGAGCACAAAAAATTCAGTTTCAGTCTTTCTTGTTTTTTTTTGTTGTAGCTGTTGATTTTGTCTGTGACAAAAAAAGCAGAAAAATAACAAAACATATAGACAGAGTTTAATTAGTGCATGCTTACTAATAAAACTTGTTGCTTAATTTCCATAAACACAAAAACTCACACACCGAATTGTGTTAATCAAACTCCCGCATAAAAACCAACTTCTTTTCTTTTTGTCTGTCTCACCTCCGATCTGAACTTGAGGCTGGCAACCGGATAAAGATGGCTTGGCTTGAACCAACAAATATGCAGCTAGACATAAATTAATTATCTCGATCATGCTGGAGATAAGAGAACAGCTCTCCGTCTGTTGTTTAGAGCTGCATCTACGCCGTAAACATTTTGCATTCAGTTTATGCACAAGCCACAAATTTAGTTCACGCTTGAGAAACTGATTAGAGCATTGTCTCTCGCTGTCATGTGAGCACTTTAATTAAGTATAATTAGGAAGATAATTAAGAATGTGCAAATAAACCTAAATACATGGCTAACTTCTTGCTGGTCTCCAGTCAAGTACAAACCTTGCCCATTCCAATTGTAAACTTATAGGAAAGTTAGCTATAAATAGATGAAAGATATCGATTTTTAGCAATAGTTACTTTATTTCGAGCTAGAAGATGTTCATGTGTGTACATACTTTTGGCAATATTGTAAAATGTCCAAATAAGTGTAACCAAACTGAACAAAGACGAAAAACTGAAAATCGATCAGTTTCTGTGATGCCAGATCGCCACAGGGCATGCGATTTATGGTATATGGCTAGGCTTAGCTGAATGGCAACAGAAATCATGCTAGAGTTCTCAAGTACCTCGACTGGCACAAGAAAAACAAGCTCGGAGTGGCTCTCGACAGTTGATTTATAATGCAGCAGATTAACAAAATCGGAAATGTCCAGACCATGCCGAACTGCCTGTGAGTATATACAACCTGTCTAGATTTGATACGAATCGAATCGCAAAGTCGATTGCTAAAAACGTTTCTACATTTTTTTTTTTTTTACAGCGTGGAACCCAAAATATTTTGACTTTTATGTGCGTAATGCAAAAAAGAGAGTGGAAAAAAAAATAACGAACCGTAAGTAACCAAACAGGCCGAGTGCCGATAAAAGGAAGTGTGTGCTGCATTTTCACACGTACATGCTAAAAAAGAAGAAGAAGAGGGGAAGAAGAAGAAAAAAAAACGGTATCCAGCCGAACGAACGGTTGCAGCGCAGGCGCTCGAGCCAGCGGGACGAGGTCATGTTTGCATTGGTTCCAGCCGATTTCGAGATTCGAGCTAAATTGAGGAATTCAAGCGCTCTCAACTCTTTTGGCCTTTGGTCAGCCGTCTGTAACGTATGTACATGCGAATGCGCAATTGTTTTTGACTTTTGCCGACTTTTGTGTCGGCTACCGCATTACACATGCGTTACGATAAAACGCAGTTGCACATACCCAATTACTGGGAATTCACAGCTTAGGCATGCGCACGCCATTTTGTGAGAACTTTGACATCCATTCAATTGCATCTGACAGAGAAGCGGGCAAATGCCAAGTGATTTATAACCTCACTTCTTGTGAATAGCATAAGTTGAAATGCAGTTGGCAACTCTGGCTGTCCGGCTGTTCGGCTGCCATAAAATGTACGAATGATCTTTTTAAGATCGCTCACGAATGGAAAAAAGTTTTATGATATGATGGCGGCTGCTGTCTTAATTGGCACCCAGAGGATCGGCTGAATCGTCGACCCCTACAGCTACAGCTACACTCTCTGGCATTATCCAATCAACGTAACTTCTGCTTACAGCTGCGCCATTGTCGTCGGCGTCGTCTTTCGGGCCCATAAAAGTTTATGGCAGACCGAAAAGTAACGTCCGCTCGAAATTCAAAGTTTTTCATTTCGTTCACTTCGAATTCTCCACTTGAGCTGTTTTCGGTATGTCTCTATTAGCGATGACAATGGCTGAGTCCAGCATCCAATGCGTTCAGCGCTGCAAAAGATAATAAATTTTATACCATATATTGGCATATATTTGACTTTTATGCATTTATTGCTGTGAAAAAATGTTAATTCTTTCGTTATACTTTTATGCATTTGACTTTTACATTTTTGTCTCCGCGCCCTTCGACGCTACACAACACATAGTTGACTCTTTTGATGGTGTTGCCTTGGCATTGACTGTGCATACTATGTATTAATTGGCAGCCATCTCAATAAATCGGAAAGTGAGCATCGTAAATCAATCGAAGCGGTAATAGCCAGATATTCGACTCACAGTCTCCAAAGGCGAACCTGCATGCATGCATTTGTGTACATATACTTAAGCAAAGCTAAGCTATTACTCTCCAAATGTTGACTCTCCCATTGCTGATATGTTAGCCGCTTTGTAAGTGTGCGTGTGTGTGTGTAGAGTACCCATATCATTCGAATTCAATTACATGCGGCACGCACACATTACAAGCCAACCGAGACGGCGCATATAACCAATTAGTGCAACAGAGCAAGCAATAGTGTCAGCTGAGCGCGTCAATGGCGTTTGAGTGAAGAAGGCGTAGGCAAAACGAAATCAAATTGACAGCTATGTTTCCTCTTCTTTCCAGTAGGTGGAGCAAATCAGCTGCTGCTATTGTGAATATTGTGTTCACAGCGAAACTAACCCCCAAATGTAACGACAATCATTTTGTTGTTGTTGTGTTTTTTTAAAATTTTATTTTTGTTTAATTCAAATAGCACATGGATTTTACATAAATTAATTAACTAAACATTAAATTACAAGCACGTGTGCCACAAATCTTGATATGTTATAATTACTTAGATTATATATTTAATTTGTTGTGTGCACGAAATATGTATGCATGTGTGTGTGTGTGTGTGTGTGTGTGTGTGCTTTTTGCTGTTATTAACATTAAATTCAATTTAGTCTAGTAACTAACTAATTGTTATTACCGCATTTAAGTAATAAACGTTAAAACTTGTGTTGGGTTACATATTTACATGTGTGTGTGTGTGTAATCAAATTGCACCAAAATATTAAAAACTTGCTCAATATTAACTAAATTATAATATAGTTTGTGTGTGTGTTTGTTTAAAAGCAATTAGACAAGCGGGACGGCTATACAAATTGTTTAAATGTTAATTCAAATGTTTTTTTTTTGTTGTTTTTTTCTGATTTGTTTCTTCTTGGGCAACTTATGCGCTAGTTTATATATATATATATAGTATATATGTGTGTGTGTGTGTGTGGATGCTAACTAATCAAATCTTGCGCTTACATTTTAAACATTAACTAGAACAAAAAACAAAACATATTACATACGATTGGGCCAGTTGTATGTGTGCGTGTGTGTGTGTGTGTGGCCGCTGTGGGCGTGGCCAGCCGGAGGCGTGCCACAAACGCCGTGAATATACAATCACAAAAATTAACAACGTGCAATATTCAAAGGCGTCGCCGCAAACGCATCCGGCTGCACAAACAGTCTAACTGTTTGACCACGCCCCCCGCCCCACCCTATCCTGTCTGCCCCTCTTGCTCTCTCCCACACACACACACACACACACACACGCACCCAAGCTAAGCCTATGCCTAAGCCAAATCCACGGCCAGATCACGTGGACACGCTGCAAAGCCGTAGCTGTCCCCGCCGCTGCCCCCGCCATCCCCGCTGCTTCCATAGCTATTCGTTTCGCCGCCGCCTGCATAGTCATGTCACATGGAGAGCGTGCCCACGCCCACGGCGGACATCTGGGCGCTGTGCTGCAGCTGATGGGAATGGGCAGATGCCGCGGCCAGCGCATGACTGTGGGCCGCCAGATGGGAGTGCGAATGAAGCCGCATGGCGGATATGTTCATGGCCGCCATTGGGTTCATGGAGTGCAGCGTGTGCTGCAGATGCAGGCCCGGCTCCAGCTTCGTCTTGGCATCCAGCAGCTGGCTGTAGTCCGTATGCTGTACGCCGCCCATAACGTTCGGATCGCTGCCCTTTTTGTTCTGTTTGCGCTCCTTGGCGCGTCGATTCTGGAACCAGATCTTCACCTGGCGCTCCGACAGCGACAACGATTGCGCCAGCTCGCTCTTACGGCGTATGGTTATATAACGGGATGTGCAGTACTCCTTCTCCAGCTCCAGGCGTTGGAAGTCCGTGTAGACGACGCGATATTTGTCCTTGGTGCGCGTTTTGCCTGCGAATGGCACAAAAGTAAATCAAGCTTTAATTAGTTAAATTACTTAACAATATAATATATAAATAATAATCAGCTAATTAAATATTTAATAAACAATTATCTGAAGTTAAAAAAACGTTAAAATAAAATAGTTTATATTATGCAATAATTTAATTAAATGCCAAGAAAGTTTTAAGTGTAAAAGAACAAATTGGTAAGAAATTTAGTTGATTAATATATTAATATTATGTATAACAATATTATTTTGTATGTAATAATATTATGCATAATTATGTTTCATGCTTCAGGCAAATGTTGCATTTTGTTAAACATTTCGAATTGTTAATAATTAATGCAAATGTTTGAACCCAGCTCGTTTGTCGTCACAGCCACGTGATTGACTGACTGGGCAAACAGTTCATCATCATCATCATTGTCATCATCATTGTCATCATCATTGTCATTGTCATTATCATTGTCATCATCAGGGCTGTCATGCAAGCCGACAATATTTGAATTAAGATAGGCCATAAAATGTGCAAACCGCGTTGGCCATGTCACGATCAAAACTTTGTCAACTTTTCGCTGCGGTAAACATCAAAATTTTCTTAGGCGCGCCTACCCCTCCCCCATTGCCCACGCCCCCTGTTTTTGGGCGCCGCCAAAGACACCTTGTGTAGTACGACCTGGTCTGCTCCCTGATCTCTCTCAGCTCGCTGCGCAATTAGTCAATCAAAATTCAAATAGATGACAAACAGCCAAAGACGAGGCATGAAAAAGGCCACGGGATCATGTCATGCCATAGTTGCGTCTGCCTACGTGATAAACGCGCACACACACACACACACACACACACACACACACACACACAGAGACAACACACACACAGAGACAACACACACACACACCATACACACACTCTGCCTAACTCTCTCACACAACAAAACGCAATGCAAACATTTTTCTTTTTTTGTTGGGATTTTGCTCTAATTTTTTGTACTTTATATATTCTTTCTATGCGCCTGGCTCCGTGGCCACAATTAAAATCGAGCAAACAAGCGAGCAAACATACAAATATTTTCACAGATGATAAGTTCAGGCGACATTTGCCAGCAGATAGGCCCAACCGAGTCCGGGCCGAGTAAGTAGAGCATGCAGGCGGGCCCGGCAACAAAATAGGTGTTAAAGACCTTAAAAATGCGCTGCAATGATATACGATATATACGGGGCATTACTCTGTTCTAAGAGAGCAAAGCGAAGAGAGAAGACAGAAGAGAGTAGAGAAGCGAAGGCGAATCTGACATAAACAGAAAAGGGTTTCAGTTGGGAATAAAAACCGTAAGGAATCGAAGCCCAAACTTCTAGCTTCTTTATATTCTCTTTGGCAATTCAAAAATTAGGAAAAACAGGTTTATTGTCAATGTTTCGCCTAGACAGTTCGAAGTTCGAACCAGCTTCCTGCCTTTAAGAGCGGCTCGTGAAACTCTCTCGCAAGTTAGAGGAGAGGCCCGTTTGTCATATATTATCTAAATTTTCGAAATTCCAAAAATTAAGTTATATTCAATCTATATTCAATCTGTGTTCAATCTATATTCAATCTATATTCAATGTGTATTCAATCTGTATTCAATCTATGTTTAATCTATCTTCAATCTATTTTTGTTCTACGTTCAATCTATGTTCAATCTATATTCAATCTACGTTCAATCTAGGTTCAATCTATATTCAATCTACGTTCAATCTAGGCTCAACTATATTCAATCTACCTTCAGTCTACATTCAATGTACATTCAATCTACGTTCAGTCTGTGTTCAATCTATGTAAAATTCAAAGTATATTCAATCTATGTTCAATCGAAGATGATTCGAACCAGCTTCCTGCCTGTACGTTCAAATCTTGAAAATCTCTGTCAAATTCTTAAATTAAAATTACAAAATTGCAATAAAAAAACGTTCGTTAATTAACAATTGCCCCTTTGCACTGAAAATATGCTGAGCCTTAAATATTTTCATAGACAAAATGCGGGCTAAATTTGAAGACTAGCCAAAATTTGACATTCAACAAATTTGGTTAGTTCAATGCAAAGTTTGGCACCAAAGTTAAGTGTACTTTGGAGTCAATGCACTATTTTTTGTTTTGGTACAATTAAAGGTTGGTTGCAGGTTCGAACTACGAATCGATAGTGAGAGCCAGGGAATGCCGTTGCCAGGCCTGATTTGCGGCCCTGCTTACAAGAGCATAGACAAAGTTTTGGGCCAAAAACAAACGTAAAGAATAGAAAACTGAAAACTTTGGCTTTGCGCCTTATCTTGTCGCTCTCGCAGTCGTGTTTATTTTTTACACTTTTGTTTAGACATGAATTTATAACATTCGCCGTCATCAACAACATCAACATCGTCGTCGTCGTCGTCGTCGTCGTCGTCTTTGCCAGTTTGTTTAGTCAAATGTGGCAATCGTCATATAAAAGTTAAAGCCTCATTCCAGCTAAGTCCACACAATACTTAATCTATCTACAGCCTTTTTGTCGTCTCGCTGCGCCCGGCCAATAATAAATCTCACATTTTGTAGTCTCTTTGCGATTTTAGTTGGCCTCTGATCGTCTTTATATACGCTTTTTTCTTTTTTGGCCCGCGCGTGTTCTTGGCCAACTGGGCTGAGGCTGATAAACGGGGCGTTTAATACGCCTAATGCTGATAACCGGCAACTGTTTAGACAGACTTGGAAGGGAACTGCACAAATATTTGTCACCATTAAAAGGCAAAAAACCAAAAGCCAAAGCCAAAGCCAAAGAAATTCTATGCATATCAGGCAAATCGCAACAGTCACACAATCATCAAGTTGGATTTCCTTGTGTAAATTGAACTTAACAAAAAAATTAAAAAAAATAAACAAAAAATTTATTTATTTACTTTTTTGTTGTTGTTGTCTTTTTGTCAACTGTACAATTTCGCAATAATTTGTAAGTCCGAAATGTTATATAAAGGAAAATGCGCGAAAAGCTCGGATTTGATTCACGATTTTCCCAAAAGTCTATTACTTATCTTCTTATATAGTCTATTTCTTATATATCTATACAACTTCTTCAACTTCTTATTCCTTATATATCTATACAACTTCTTCAACTTCTTATTCCAGTTATTTGAGAGAGAGAGAGAGAGAGAGAGAAGCATATTATATAGATTATGACATGAAAGAGCAGCTGGATTCAATATTTTTCTATAAACAGTAAACTTTTGTGTATATATTCGAATATATTTTAAGAATATTTGTATTTTCTATTATTTTGTTCTTTTGTGAATATATTTAAGAATATTTATTATGCTCTCGTAGTGCGTACTAGAACTCTCTCATCAAATATCTTCGAGTATATACATTCTGGATCAGCAGACGATTTGTTATAGTCATGTCTGTCTGTCTGTCTGTCCGTCTGTCTGTCTGTCTGTCTGTCTGTCTCTCTGTCTGTCTGTCTGTCTGTCTGTCTGTCTGTCTATTTCCAAGCGAGCTAGTTTTGAAGCTAAAGTCAGCTGTATATCAGAACTGGCCGGATCGGCGCACTATATCATATAACTGCCATAGCAACAAGTTCAAGCACATATAGAATCCAAAATAGAGCCAGAGAACTCTCAGCTAAACAAATACTCTATATATATGTATATATATTTTTAGAGATGTCTGATTGGAAATGCTTAACTACACAGAGAGAAAAGCGGCGACTTTTTGTACTTGAGCCTTGAACTCTTGAATTAAACGTAATTCATACTTCATCTAAGCTCGTAAAGCTCTTCAAAGAAGTACAAAAATTCGCTAGAGAGAAAGATTTAGCTGCTAAACACTGCTCATAATTCTAAGCTGGCAACAATTTATGGAATACTCTATAAAAAGTTCTGGCATAATATCGTAGCCCAATTTAATCTATGCACAATATTATCTGTTGGCACTTTGGGTACAAATTTCTCACACCTTGTGTGTAAACAAATCCCTGGCCAAAACTGGGGCCATGTTCTTGCTGTTGTTGTTGTTGTTGTTGCTGGGCAGCGACATTGTGAGGCTGCGGCTGACCTTCACGGCCATAAGCCAATAAATAAATGGTGTGTGTGAGTGTGTGTGTGTGTGTGTTGCCATATATAAAACAATAAACCATAAACTAGAAACTAACTAAACCGTAAACTGAGTGTTTTATTAACAGCACACAAAACAAATACGCACAGTTTCTGGTCCAATCTAACCGAGTCGCAATCGCAGTCGCAGTCGCAGTCACAGTCACAGTCGCAGTCACAGTCTGGACAAATAGACGGCGCACAGATCTTTCGAATGGGTTTTTGTGCTGCCTTGATAAGATATACGCGCTCATAATTCAAAACCCCCAAAAAATAAATAAGAGATATATAATAAAAGCAGAAAAAAAACAAGTCATTTTTGCAAATAGAGCACAAAAAGCTCAAATGCAGCACATATTCTTTGAGATAAACAAACAAAAATACAAAAAAATAAAAAAATAAAAATAAAATATACATTTTATTTGTAATTAAATAGAATGCTGCATAAAAGTGCTTGCCTTGTGGCAGCCAGAAAAGAAATAACAAAAAGGTGTGACATTTTTTTATGGCTTTCTCGCTGGCACAGAGAGAGGGCAGAGGGGGGGGGGGGGTGGGAGAGAAGGGGGTGGGGTGGTACGACTTGTACAAATGTGGTAAATGTTGTCGAATTGAGAATGAGGTTGTGTGTGTGTGTGTGTGTGGCAAGTGGGGCATGCCACGTACAGCTTATATGCGACTATATCTATCTATATCTATCTATATATATATATATGTATATATATATTTGATGGATTAGTCGACATTGCCTATCGATTGCCGGGCGGCATAGTTCAAATGCACGCACTCCCCTAATCCCAGTTGAGGTCTGTATCAACAACACGCTTGTAACAAGAACCTCGCTTCGAGGAGTTGCAACAGTTGCAGTTGCATTTGGAGCCTACGATAAGCCCTAATGGTTGTCGGTTGTAATACCCATGTCTATATGTGTACATATATGCTGCAATTGGCGGCACGATCTGGCCCGGGCTTCGCGCTTTCATTCACATTTGCAACACTGCGCAAAAAACCTGATAGCTTTCGGCAGATCTATATATATCTATAGTTATACATCTATCTATCTTATATGTCTAACTGTAAAAATCCTAAGGTATGTTCCGGTTCCTTTAACTAGTTTAGACCGTCTACTTTTGATTTGCTCAAGATTCTTTTGAGTAATATCTCCAAAAGCTTCTTTTGGTAGTTCAACTTTGAAGAATGTATTCTATAATATGATATGGCATAGCTATATATTCAATCAAATCATATATGGAGATTTCAATGATATCTTGTTAAAGTTAAAACTGTAAAAAAACAAACGACTTTTTTTTTTAATTCAAATTTGAACAATCTACTTTACAATATTTTATATGGCAGATATATATTGCTATTACTCTTATGCAAAATATTTCCATATTTAAAAACTACAAAAGTTGAAATTTGTACAAATTAATCTCTTTTAACTAAATCTTTACTAAGCTGCTTCAAAGTCGGGGGATTTCCTTATTAAAAACAAAAATGAAAAACGATTTTGTATATTTTGTAAATTTGTTCAATGTTCTATCTATTCGATATATTATATATATCATATATCATCATTTCAATGATATCCAAAAACTAATCGAAAAACATGAAAAAGTTGAAAATTGAACAATTTACTATAATTTTTTGTCATGCAATAGCTATATTATATTTAATATAGTCATATATAGCGACTTTTTCAAGCACTTTCCCCAGACCTTATCAACCTTTTTTTTTCAATATATACCCTGCATTCTACAAAATCGAACTTCTATATATTTATCTCTTCTTCTACAAATCATAAAAAGGCTGGGAAAAACTTCATTATAATCTTAATATTTGCTTGTATTTGAACAATTCTCTAATGTCCTAATCATATAAAAAGAAAACTTAATAAATCTTTGAACCAAAAGATTTATATTTAGAAACCTTGCGATTTACTTCTCATAAATTTATTTTTTTGTCATTTGTGAATCATTCACAAAATTCGACTTTGAGCAAAATGTGTGGACTGTTTGACAAGCACTTGCTCCTGTTGCCCCTGACCTTATCGTTAATGTGTCTCAGTGTAATAATTCACAACTGGTGCGCGCAATGACAAACAATCGAATAGTTTATGAGCGCAACAAATGTGTGTGTGCGTGTGCGTGTGTGTGTGTGCGTGTATGTTTGTATCTCTGGCTGCCGACAAAGGAAAAGAGTGCAAACAATACAAATGCCAATAGCTGGAAGGCTTTAAGATTTTATAGCGCATGCGATTATGTAATTTAAGGGGTAGATAGATGCAGGGTGGGGGGTGGGGAGGGGGTGTGTGGGTATTGGAATATGGAGCAAAGTTAAGCCGTAAATGATTGTCAAGAGACAATTGACAATTTGGCCCATAAATTATATTAATATACGAGCAGGTAGCGCCGATTTTTCGAACAGCTGTTGCCAAAACAGAGCCGGACATAACGCAAAGATTGCGGCAATTATGTGCACTGTTCCCAGCGGACCAATCACAGCGACCAAGGCCACTGACAGTTACAGTTACAATATATTTAACCGTTAACCGTTGCGGTTAGTTACGCGCCGGTTGGTGGTTGCGCATTAATGCGGCCTGCTGCATGCTGTGTGTTAATTTGTCACTTGCGGTACATCTTTATCTATGTGTGTGTGTGTGTGTGTGGTGTGTTTGCGGGTGGGTGTGCTGCGGGGGGTGTGGGCATTGCCCAAGATGATGACAAAATAAGGACGCAAACTAAATGAAGTGCTCAGCATGTGTACACAAATCTATTGGGAGACATTTATTACCTGCTCTCGCTCGCTCTCTCTCTCTCGCTCGCTCGCTCTCTGCTCTATTAAAATTTCGAAATTAAAGCTTTAGCCTGGGTCAAAAGTTTCGGGCAGCCCGCTCAGCTGCGCTCTCACCACCCGCCCCCACCCCGCGTTGACGCTCAGCAGCAATTTCAGTTATTGCACTCCTGGGACTGAGGCACTCAACATTCGGCAGCAGAGTCCAACACTTGACTTTTCAACACTCAACAATTTGTTTCTGAGCTCAACTTAAAGTTGAGCGCAAACATGGGAAGTGGGTGGGAGAGAGACACTGAGAGAGAGTGTGTGTGTGGCTGTGGTGAGCATCATAAATGTATTTTCATGGCTGTGGCAAGGCAGAGACAACAATAACAACTAACGGGCAGCAGCTAAAGCAGCAGCTCACCACCCAAGCGACAATATAACAATAACATTTATTTGGCATTTTGCTGCTGTTTTAGATGCTGTTATATCGTAAATATTAGCTCAAATTACATCATAAAATCATTTGATTCGATTTGACGTTTATTTTATTTTTCCTTTTTTGCCCTTTTTTTTTTTTGCTTTTGTTCTTGGCGTGGGCCTGGGAAATTTACCACCTTTGCGGCGGCTGTTTATTTGTAAAGGAGTGTGAGGTGGAATCAGCATACATATAAATCAACGCGAGAGCGGATTTAATTGTAGCCTGTATATGTCTACACAATTTGGAGACTCGTGACATTAGTGGAGAGCTGTGGGAATATTTCACATAGCGATTCCTTCGTTATGTAAAGATGTTAACTGTTATCACGTCTGGTAAACATTCAATGTTATTTTAATATACATTTTTCATGTAACACGAATAATACTGCTAATACAACTGTTAGAAACTAAAAACAAATGAGGGATAAATGAGAACTGAAGCCCAGACAAATATTCAAAAGTAGCTGTGGGTTGCTTTATATTAAGCCAAGACCGACGGCAAATCGAAAGGTTTGTTTATACGCATAACTTTATATATTGCGCATTTCGTTGTTCATCTAGAAAATTAGATCAGCTATATAATTTCCATCAGGGCTAATTAAGGTTCCACTAATGCTATGCACGCAACAATAAATAACTCTTTCACACACGCACACACTCACACACACACACACGCGCGCGCGCGCGAAAGGCAGAAATTCAAAATGGCGTACATCAAAGTGGAAACATGCGACATGGCAACGGCTTTATGAGTGTGTGCCATGCATATGCAAAAAGGCACCAGACTCAATCCCCCGCCATCATATATACCCCCCCTCGCCACAACCCACCAGCTGCAGCGCAAAGCCAGGCCGCGCCCCGGCACGCAGCATTATAAATGCCAACGGAGGAAGAAAAAATGTATATATATATATATACATATATTATCAGATCGCGTGCAGGGACACAAACGAATGCCGCATGTACGTGCCGCAGCCAAATTTGAGGCACGCAGGGCGGAGCAAGAGGCTGATGATGGCCATATAAATGTGGCCAACACGCCATTTTGGCAGCGGATCGCGTTTATGAGCGTCTCGAACGGCGCGGGGAGTGCCGCCGTTTGTGCTTAGAAAATGGCTGCCATCGGCCGCAATTTGACTGCCAGCCCAAAGTCGAAGTCGAAACTCGAAACTCGAACTCGAACTGGAATTCGAAGTCGCCATTAAAGTCATAAATTGCGTAGTTCGTGCAGCTTGGTTTGCGGCGAGGGGGGGGGGGGGGGGGACAAAATTATTCTCAAATTTACGTTAATTATTTTGAATGCGGCTGCGAAAGCATGCAATAAACATTTATAATCATATGCTGTATGTATACGATATGCACATACGATATACACATACGATATGCACATACGATACGATATACGACTCGAGCTTATTTATGAGCGGCGCATGCAAGCCAAAACAAAAGAAGAAGAACAACAACAACAACAATAAGAAGAAGAACAAGAACAGGAGCGAGCAAGACAAAACATAAAATTTAGAAAGAAAGAAAAGTTAGAATTATTTTGGATGCGTACCACCTGCTTCCAGCAATTCGGTAAAGTCCTCTAAATTGGGCGAGCTGCACAGTTCTGCGAATGTTGCGTTTATTAGAGTTAAATATTATATTAAAGTTAGCATTTAGTCTATTTATAGATTTTTGTTTAACTCATCAGTTATTAAAGCTATAAATACTATAATTAAGTAATTAATACTATAATTTAATAGAATTTTCAAAATAAGTTTGAGGCCAAACGAACTAAACTTTCTGAATTCCCCCTTTCTTTCACTTGCATTTTTCACCCAAGTGTGGCGAATTTCGTGAAAAGCGTGAAACATGTCTACAATGAAATTGCACAAAGATCTTTGAAAATGATTTTGTTATCGAAAGTATCATTTTTTGATTTTCCATCAATTTTCCACAGCTGCGAGTGGAATTTCAGGAAACGCTGAAATATATATTCCCCAAGTTTTTATGTAGATCTTCCAAATTATGTTTAAACCAAATCGTACAAAACTTAAGCCGGAAACACCTAGATGCTAAGAAAAGCAAAAGCAGAAACTTAACAAATTAGAATCTTTTCATAATCGAAGCGTTATAATTCCCAAGCGAAGAGTCTTCCTATTCAAATGAAACAATATACAAGTGTATAACCAATCGAATCAATATGTTAAGCGAATTCCAATGCGCTAAACAATGCGAAATAAATTTCAGTTGGACCTCTGCTCCTTCTCTCAACTATATATTTATTTGCCAAGATATAGCCGTGCGCTCTAGTTGTTATAATAAGCCGGGGCCAACACATTATTGATAATTTGCGCATATCATAAAAATATTCAACAATATAATATACAATAAATTTGTGTGTGTACTCCTTTGGCTTTGCTCTGGGTGTGAACTATAAATTTTCTACTCGCTGCTGCTGCCCGGCTTCTCGCTCTTATCTGAGTAGGTTAAACGCTTTGGGTCAACGTGCAACAATATTTGCTTAATCTTTGAGGCAAACACCGGAGCGTGCCCGAGAGATGCAGCTGCAAGATCATTAAACCGAAAGCAAAAGTGAGATATGGCCCAATGTTTACCCGAGCGAGTAACGAGTAGCGAGTGGCGAGTGGCAAATCGAGCGAGTCGTAATTAATGAATGAAACAGAAATTAAACTGGCCGTCAAATCAGTACAAATCCAGGCTAATAATCATCAACATCATAAAAATCAGAATATGGCAACCATATATTCATTGTTCATTGGCCCAATGTTTACCCGAGCGAGTAACGAGTAACGAGTAGCGAGTGGCGAGTCGTAATTAATGAATAAACAGAAATTAAACTGGCCGTCAAATCAGTACAAATCCAGGCTAATAATCATCAACATCATAATTAAAGTGGCATAAAAATCAGAATATGGCAACCATATACAATATTCATTGTTCATTGTTCATTGTTATGGTCGGGGCATATAATTTAGCAGCGATATATTATGGCGATATTCTCTGAAGCAAGCATTTAATTTAGTTTTTTATAATTATTGCTACTTTATTGTATTGTTAAGCGATTAACGGCACAATGTATACACATATGTATATATATATATATTAACTGGACTGCAAATCGCGGCCATAAAAATAGTAGCAAAAACGTGTACACAATAAGCTTGACACGTTTCTAAAGAGTCGCTCAATCAGTCAGTCAGTCCGTCCGTCCGTCAATCAACGGAATTATGCCTAAAGATATGCATGAGGCACTGATATTTTATTTACACGCAAAATATTTGCGCGTACAACGCGTCGTATGAGCTATATTTTGATTGACAAACGGATTTGAATGTCGCAGCTGGAGCTTAACGAGCAGCGACATTTTCTTGTTTATGACAAAATGAAATATTTTGACTGAACACGCTTTATATCTAAGTTGGCAATTCTTCTCATTTCATTTCAGTTCTTTATTCTTTCTCTTCCCGTTTAGCTGATAGAAGATCAGAAACTTGACGGAATTGTAAGCTGAAAAAGACTTCATCTCAATCTTTTCTCTATTTTCTGGCATATATCCTTACGTATATATACATATCTTCATAACGCTGCGTTCTTGAATCTTACTAGGCTTATATATTTGTAGAGCTGGAGGACTTATAAGTCTATAGATTTTCATAGCAAAGTTTCTCTATATATCTATTTCCTCTGTTTCCCTGGCATATATCTTTCCGCATAAACTTTCACATTTGCCTTATATTTACATACTCAACTTTAATTTCTCTTCAGTTTCTCAATCATTATTTAAGTTCTTATTGGCTTTATTTCGATTTGCTCTTACCTTAATTAAACAAGTGTGGACAGCCTCTGATGCTCGCTTTTAGATCCAAAACTTGGCGTAATACTATAATAATATTATTTTGGCATAGCTGGAATATTTATAAACTCATAGTTTTCTGTATGAGTAGGAATCTATATAAGTCTATTTCCTCTATTTCCGTATCGTCATAGCTTTCCACTTTTACCCTATTTATATTTACACTCTCAAAGCCCGCTTTATACTCTCTTAAGTTGCCCAATCATAATTAAACTTCTTATTGGCTGCAATTGAAATTCCCTCTGCCTTTCGCGGGCTTCTTCCCCCTGAAACTTTTTCCCAGTTAAAGTTCCTAAGGCTGACAAATCCGCGGCGCCTGCAGCACACACAATAGTGAATCTCTCTATATATATATCTATATCTATATATGTATGTGTGTGTGGTTGATCGTAGCTGCATGTTCAACAACTTATAGAGCACACACGGGGTACATGTGTATATATGGAAAGGGCTTTCCAGCTACTTAGCAGCAACAAATTTCAGTTATTAGCAATATCAATGCCAATACAAATAACAGGCCGCGGCGCAATATTTGAACAACTAAGTCCCAAGCAAATGGAGCTGATGGATAAAAAACAAAAAACAAGCCACAAGTTGTGTGTGCGAGTGTGTGTCGAGTGTGTACGAGTGTGTGTGTGTGAGCTAATCCTGGCATGTCAATCATGGATAGCGTTTGTCAGACCCAATGTCGCTCTGCCTATGCCACATAGATGATCATGATGATGATGGCAATGATGATGATGATGTTGAACTGAGCTAATCAAGCGGCAGACTTCATTTTGACACATGCCCCAGGCCACAAATGCTGACGGCAATGCGCACAAAAACCAAATATTGATAGCGCTGATAACGATCGACGGACGACTCCGGCGGGCAACATCGACGGATACGGCCCGCTGACTGCAACGGGCCAGCTAGTGGCCATTTTTAATGGCTTATCATGCAACCAAATAGCTCACGTCGCAGTCGCAGTCGCAGTCGCAGTCGACGTCGCTGTTCATATGGCCTATGGATGGGTCTACACTCAGAGAAAAGCTAGACTGAGTGTTCTTTCAAGCATATTTTCTTTGCCTAAATCTATTTTAATGAGTAACTTGAGAAACTTCTTTGAACTCTAAATTGAGAGTGTCAGAATTAAGCACAGCATGTTTAGTTAAAGAAAAGAGAGAGAGAGAGAGAGAGCGAGACAGAGAGAGAGAGAGAAGCAGAACTTCTTAGATTAAGCATTCTTTATTGAGTCTTTGGAAGTCTGACCTAAAGAACTTCGTTCTCAGGCTGAGTATTAATATTTAGGAATTTTCATGCTTAAGAAAATAACTTTTAAAATAGGAACTTTGTTTTTAGACTAAGAAAGGATATTTGGAAATTTGCGCACTTTGTAAAAAGCTCTTGAATTAGAAACTTTCTTATGAGGATATTTGATAATTTGATTATTAAGAATTTTGATACTCTAGAAAACATATTCATAAACAAGAACAGGAATTTTGATGCCCAAGAAAACAAATGTTGGAATAAGAACTTTGTTCTTAGACAAAACAAAAATGATATTAAAGAGTTTTGGTTCTTAGGAAAACAAATCTTCAAATAAGAAGTTTGTGCTTAAGAATTGACATATAGGAACTTTGCTTTTAGGCCAAGATACTTAGGAATTTTGTTACCCAACAAACTCAATAGATATTGTTAACCAATTGCGTTTTGAGCCACCTTTTTTGTGACAGTGTATCGTAATTTGAAATCGTAGTTTTTTGGGGCCAGACATTGGGGCAACACGAATCTATGCTCCGGCATATATGTGCTCTATAGATAGCTCTACCTTTTCCCTTCACTTCTTTTTTCTACTCTGCTTCTTTCTCTATTTCTGATATATTTATAAATTTTGTGCATATTGACACATTAAATCTCAATGTGTCATGTGGCATTAAGTTTTATGCCCAGCGCAAGACACGTTGAATCCACTACCCCCTCCCACCACTACCCCTATATCAATCGTTCCTACTGCCAGCTTATCGTTGGGCCAAGTTAAGGTTTCTTCCTGGTCGCTCTCATAATTCGGTTCGGTTCGATTCGGTACGGTTTTTTTTAATAATGATTGCAAAGATTTGGCCATAAATGTCGCTATTTAGTTTTTATTGGAAGTAATACTAATTTTTATTGGTTTATTGGTTATATTGTTTTAATCAATACGCCAAACGGCGCCCTTATCGGCCCATAACCAGGCTATGTCGCGCAGATAACGCACACGTTTCGATACTTGGTATCACCCCAAAAAAAAAACCTATATATATATATGATGGGAGGACCAGGTAACATTGACAGGCGGTCGTTGATTTCACAAAGGTTTTCCATTCTACAGAAACACAAACCCCGCCCCCTCCTCCCACTTCTCCCTCCTCCCTTGGCCAGCAAGTGCGGCTAATCTAATCGCGAAAACCCCGCCTCAGCTATTGAAACAAAAGTACAAGCAACAAAAACAATAACAATTGCCGAAGAACTTTATTGCCACACCCAATGGGCGCGTTTGGACACGTTTTGAGAATCGATTGGCACGCATGTATATACCCCACACTGAATGCCCGAACATAGGGTAGAGTTTGCGTTCAAGAGAGAGAGAGAGAGAGATTTTTGTGTGCGTTTCGTTTATTATTTATACGAATAATAAATAAAATGCATAATCTTAATTTGTCATCTTGACCCGTTAAAGGATTACAATTAACAACGGCGGGCCCAATAAACGTTAATTGCATACCAACCGATTTTATGGGCTTAATGGATATCGTCGTCGATATCGAATGTCGTCAACTTCGAAACGTTCAGCGCGGCCATAAATTGTAAGCGCTTGCGCACGTGTTTTGGCATGTGTGTGTTTGCTTGTGGGTATGCAAGTGCCTAAGTATGCGTGTGTGTGTGTGCATTGGCATTTGCATCGCTGTTAATGTTAATGCTCTGTTGTTGTTGCTCTGTTATGTAAATAAAAAAGAATGGCCGCCGAACAGCGACAAGCAAAATGTAAAGCCTTGAGCTTTTAACATTTAATGTGAGTGGCGCCTGCAGTGTGAGAAGTGAATGCAGCAGAGGAATAACAGAGTCAAGGAAGCTTTTTCAACGAAAACAAAATGACTCAATGCAACTGTTTTGATCTAAATAAATAGAGAACACCTAACATTCTATTCGTTTCATGCCTATTTGAAACACTTCTCGAGCCGCTAATTGCTGTGAGAGCAGTTCGCTGCCTTTTCACATCTATTTGCATTTTTCATTAGAAACTGTGGAATTGATCGAACCCATTGAATATTCTTTCCATTCTTTTTTCTTTTTATAGTTAAATTGATTTACGACACAAAATTAGTCAACAGAGTCGACAAGTTTTTCAGGCCGCGACCGCTGAGCCTGGGGCATAAATCAAGGCGGTGCGCCGTAAAATGAAGACAAACATTTGATTTTTATGAGCTAATGGCCCTTGGAGGCGCGCTCAATTCGAGCACAAATTGCTTACGGTTTGTTATAAAATGATGCTTCCTTCTCTTTCTTTCCCTTTGAAGCGCGAACAGCACGAGCTTTGGTCGAACGCGGAGGTAGACAATGCTTGCGATCTGTTGTTGCGGATGAGCGGAAAACCCCAGAAAGGTGACTAAAAGCGAATTCGAACTTGGATCAAAACAAAGCAAAGACATTCCGTTTCGTTCAAGTACGCGCTGCAGCCAAAATGTTAGTGCAGCTTAGCTGAGTAAAGCAGAGCGCGCACAATTCACCACACACAAGAGTGCATACCACTACAGTATGTACGTATGTTTGTATGTGTGTAATGAAAGATCGTGTGCAGCGACAACGAAATTGGAATTAACTCGGGCTCGAATTGGCGTGTAGTCAAAACAATGTTAGCCCGTTATGTTTCGCAATACGCAGCAGAAAAAATGTTAGTCTAACTTGGCAGAGATTTCGACACTGAGCTTTTGTCACCGTTTAATGGTCAATCAAGGCTCAAGGCTTGGTAGTCTATAGCTTTCAGCTCAGTTAGTTGCTTAGTTCAACGCAGATGAGACGTGCGTGCGTGTGTGAATAGAAATTAAGAACGTGTGTGCAAACGCAGAAGAGTACTTAACTCGCATCCAAACAAGGAATTGATGAACTGGAGTTGAACTAAGACTTCCAGATTTCGCAAAAGATATAAATTGTGAAACTAACAGCTTTTCACTCGAAAGTGAACATTCGATCGTGTGGAGAAAAACTCAAAGTTTACGCAATTCGCGTGCGAATTGGAATATGCTCAAATCGAAGTGAGTAGAAAATAACTCGAGTCTAACTTTGACTGTGAGTTTGTTTTTACCGTTAAATAGTTTAGCTCTTGCTCTCAATTACACTAGTGACAAAATGTTAGTATATATGTATGTAGACTTACCCGGCTGCGGTTGTGCTGGATATGAGGGTTTCTTCATCCATTCGTAATATTGCGTCTTCGCTGGCGATGTGCGATGGTTGTTGTTGGCCGTGATGCTGTTGTTGTTGTTGTTGTTGTTGTTGTGTGTTGAGGGGCTGTTGTTGTTGTTGACGCTGCCCGCTGCACTCAAATGATGGGTCAAATGGTGCGGCGAAGAGGCAGAGGTGGGCGCGCCCGGACTAGATATCTCACTGCCCGACACCGTTATGGGCGGCGATGGCAAACCCTCGGCAATATGTTGTTGTTGCTGCCGCTGCTGTTGCTGCTGTTGTTGTTGTTGTTGTTGCTGGGCATGAACTGCCGCCTCGTTCGGCTCGTTCAGCTGCGTGGCGCCCGGCGCTGCACCACCCACCGCCGGCGCAGAGCCGCTGCTGCCGGAGCTGGCCGAGCTGCTGGAGCCGCCGCTGGGCAGCCCGCTGTTAATGTGCGCCGCATGATGCTGCTGCATCAGCTGATGCGCCGATGTCGGCACATTCTGCACAAAACTCTCGCCAGCCGCCGAGCTGGAGGCGGGCGAATGCCAATCGCTGGCGCTGGCCGCCGCCGCCGCCGAATGGAACATGTGCGGATTGTAGTACATTTGATGGGCGGCTGCATGATGGGCGGCGGCATGCGGTGAGTCCACGTCGCTCAGGAACTGATGATTGGGCGGCGTATGATAGTTGGTTGGCCAGTTCCAGGGTTGGCCAGCGGCCGCAGCCGAGGCGTACGCCAGATTGGCGTTGTGCTTTTGCGAATACGGCAGTGTATTGTAATAGTGGGAAACCATTTTGAGGTTAGGGCGCGCAATCAAAACTGTTTAACTTCGAAAATTACTGTTTACTGTTTATTTATTGTTGTTAATTTTTTTAAGCAATTTGCTTGGGGTTTTTTCTTTTTTTTTGCCTCTGTCTTTAAAGCACTTTTTTTTCGCTCTCTGTTTTATGTGCACATTTTGCAAGCGTTTCGACAAATTTGCTTTTGAACTTTTTCGCGCTTCCTCTTTTGCGCACACACACGCACGCACTTTTACGTAGTTTGTATTGGTATTGGTGCGATCTATCGATAAGCACTTAATTGTAAACTCTTTGTTTGGTATTTTTGTTTCCCAATTTAAAACACGCGTGAATTTTGAGTCAAATTTTGCTGCGTTCTCTTAACTGCCGTTGCGTCTGGCCTGTTGCGCCGTTAACCGCAGTCGAATACGTACTGAAAGCAACCAGCGTCGAGCACTGATAAAAACAAACCGAAAAGAAGTAGGAAAAGGGAGCCGCGCTAACAACAGCAGCAGCGACTGCCGTCTAACTAGTCGTCTCGCTCGCACGCACGCCAACCAGCCTGAGTGGGCATATTTTAACCCTCATTTCCGTTGCGTGCCTGAAATTCAAGATGGCTTGTGTTGTTTTTTTTTTGCCTGCTCTCTCTCTCTCTCTCTCTCTCTTGCTGGCCAACGACGTCCCGCTTGCGTACGTCATGGCTGGCCGTGTGGCTCCGCCCCCTTTTGGCCAGGGCTTGGCCAGGTAAGCCGGCTGCCGAAGACGACGATGGGCGTTTGAGCCAAAGTATGTGTAGAAATGAAATACCCCTTTTTCCTTTACGACTGCTTCGATTTGTACTATAAACTAATATTGCCTTTGGCTATCCCTAATTAAGTAATTCCATGCCAGTGTGCATTATGCAATTAGTGGCCGTAAAATCATGTTTGTAGTGCCATAACGACGGATTTCATTTATTGCACTCCATGTACATGTACATGTACATATCATTCATTCAGCCTTTGCCATTTTAATGTTCCGATTTTTCTGCTTTATAGAGCTAGTTTTCTGTTAGGTGTGAGTGTGTTTGTGTGTGTGTGAGTGTGTGTGTGTGTGTGTGTGTTTGCAGAGCAATTGTTACTTTTCTATAAACATCTCGCTAATTGCATCATAAGTGGAATAACGCCCGAGAACAGCTCAAATATTGGCTTTAAAGTAAAGTTCAAATTGGTTATAAAACGTCTAAATATTTATAAATCATTTTCAATTGTTGTCATAACGGGATTGGAAAAGATATGTTAAAGAAGAACGAACATATATGGGAAGAAGAAGTAATATTTACAGGAAGAAGAAATAACATATGCAGGATGAATAAAGGATATATATGGAAACAGAACATATTTTCGAAGAAGAAAAAACCTATATGAGAAGAAGAAAGAATATATTTAAGAAGAAGAAAGAACATAAAAAGGAAGAAGGAAGAAAATGTATATCTAAAGAAAAAAGAATATATATTGGAAGAAGAAATAGGATATTTAGGAAGAAGAAAAACATATATATTTTAAGAAAAAAGAAAGACGAAAAAATATATAAAGGAAGAAAAAAGAGCATATATAGGAAGAAGAACGAACATGTTTGGGAAGAAGGAAGAAAATGTATATCGAAAGAAGAAAAACATATATGGGAAGAAGAAAGAACATATATAGGAAGAAGAAAGGGCATATAAAAAAAGGCGAAAGAACATATATAGGAAGAGGAAAAAGCATATAAAGAAAGAATAAAGGATATATATGAAAACAAGAAACAAGAAAGAACATATAGAAGAAGGAAGAAAATGTATATCGAAAGAAGAAAAACATTTATGGGAAGAAGAAAGAACATATATAGGAAGAAGGACGGGCACATAAAGAAAGACGAAAGAACATATAAAGGAAGAGGAATGAACATATATATCGCCAGAAGAAGAAATATATAGGCATATAGAACACTTGCGATTTCTACAATTGCTCATCAAAAATTAAAAACTTCCTACAGGAACCATGTGATATAGTGCTCCGATATGATATGGAAATATGGTAAAGTAAAGAAATATCTAATATATGTAAAATATCTTGACAAAACAAAAGCCAAGAACATTTTAGGGACAAATTCTCAATCGATTCTTGACAGACTTTTTTGCATATTCTGCCAAATTTTGCTCAAGATTTTCTCGCGAGCAATTGAGTTTTCTTTTAGATTGAACCAAAAGCTAGGTGCACGTATATGAAAGACCAGCTTAACAGATCGCAGCTGAAGGCAAAACCTGGGCTCAAACCTTTTTTTTAGGGCTTCCAGCCTTGATCTAAGCCCTAGCTCATAAAACACGCAACCTTTTTGTTGCCGAACCAAAAGAAAAAAAAATATTAAAAAAAGGCTGCCAAAAGTAACGGAAAACGCAAACGATTTTTCACCTTCGACAACGATTGAGTAATCCGTTACGAGTTCCACGAACTTCTCGCCGAGATTAGCTAAAAAGCGCATTCATTGATCGAAAAATGGAAGAGATAATAAAGTTGGACAAACGCATGCTCAGCTGACACAAAGGACAATTTCACGCAGGCAGACCAGGACAAATTTCGGCCCACACTTAAATTGCACTTTGTTGGACGGCAAATGCTGGCTCTGCTCCTGGCCTGGTGTCTGGTGTTGGCCAAACAAAAAACCCCTTAATGCCCACACAAAAACCGAAAACATTGTTGAGACAATTGTTTTATTGTCGGCCGCGAAACGTTCGAGGACAACAAACAGGACGAGCCGAAAGGAGCGTGTCATAAAGTTCGCACTACAATTAGCTGGCCGCAGGCCATATTTTTTCTACTCCCATTTCGTTTCTCTTCTTTTTTCTTTTTCGCAAAGCGTCTAGAATTCAAGCGAATTTTCGAATAGGCCATGTTGTTTGTTTTTCACCTTCCCGCAGGCAAGTCATGTAATAGGCCATCATGTTTACCTGGAAGTCATTAGGGGCGCAATCTGCTCGTGCCTCGATCGGGCGACAAGCAGCCTTAAGAAAAAACCCTTCTAATGCATTTACCAGCTATATTTGTTATTATTGTTATTATGACTCACCTTCTGTGGCTCGTAAATTAGAATATGATCATAAACAAAGCATAAACAAAAAGTGTATATATTCGAAAATGCAATTATGCTAATAAAACCATAAAGAAAGCGCCTCGTAAATCAGCCCCGGCAATTAGATCCAGCGAGAGCAGCTCCAAGAAACACCAATCCACACACGATCTGCACACATGCATATATACCTGTATATACCTGTACATATACCTGTTAGATAGAGCCACCTTTGCCGTCGCCAGACTCGAATGACGCTTCGCTTGATTGGGTTGTCGGACTTTTTTTGTCGCTCTTGGTTAATTTGTACGTTGAAGAGTTTTATGGCCATGACTGCGCAGCAAAATGGGCCCAAAAAACCTGAACCCCCCCCCTACCGCCCACCTGCCTCCGCTCACCTCTACACAACACGCAAGTGCATTTTGCGTTGTGCACGCCTTCATGTATGCCGCGATAAACATTTTGTTGTTGTTGTTAATCAAACAAATTAAACAGCTCTTTGCGGCTACAACAACAACAACAACAACAACAACAACAAATTAAATAAATAATGTATTTTTGGATTTTGGAAATTTGACAAACTGGATTTCCTCATAAAACTGATAGCCACGGCAATCTAGCATGATTCCGCCTTCAATCACTTTGACTACTTAATCTTTAATTCGTTAAACGCTTGTCAAAAACTTGGCTAAGATATCGTTTTAGCCAACTTCAACAGTTTTTGCTTTAAGGATTAAGTAAAATCTAGATGATATTTTACTGTTTTACCAGCTTTTTTTTTTTCGTTTCTACCAGGCTTTTTGGCTCAATTAAGGAAATTCACTATATAATAAAAGTTGTTACAAAATGTATATAGAACATTATCGAGCTAGAATTTCAGTATATAATATGTAATTATAGGAGCTAAGAATCGATTATAGAGCCAAGAAAAAGAGAGAACTTTCGACTCGCTGCCTTAAGGATCTGTTCGCAAAGCTGATTTTAAAAATCTTTAGCCTAGGTTTTCGACCGATTCTTGGCTTCTTAAATAGTTAACAAAATTTCAATAAGATAATTCCATTTGATTATGCAAAGTTTTCAGTTATTTGAAAAAATGTCCATGAAGCAATTACAATTTTTTATAAACAGTTCGCAAAGCCGATTGTTAAAATCTTCAAAAACTGATTTTCTCACATTTTTGGAAATTCTTTCGTATATTTTCAAAATTTCAATTTTTAATATACAGTTCGCCTTACTTAAACCTTGGCTTCTCTTGCAGAAACAATTTCTAAATCTTAAGCCAGGTTTTGTTTAAAAATGTGTTTTTCTAACTTGAAAGAATGAGATCCTTTACAAAACAGTTTGCTAGGCTGATTTACAAAATCTTTTATAAAAATTTCAAATTCTTCAAAAAACTATTCTATATTAAAAAAAAATACAAAGTTCGCAAAGCTGAGTTTCAATAGTTTTCGTAGCTTCAAAAAATGTTCCCTGAAACAATTCAAATGTTTGAAAATTAATATATTTTAAAAACTTAAATGAAACAATTCAATTTTTTTTACAAGCTTACAAGCTTGACTTTCCATATCTTAAGCCCAGTTTTTGGTGCATTTCTTAAGCCTCAGTCTTCTTTTCTTCTCTTATTTTTAAGTCCATGTCCATGTAAGAATTCCAATTTCTAATATAAAGCTGCCCGCTGCTCTGAAAATATTCCAAGCTGTAGATATTTTCATATTCAAAATGCGGGCTATATTTGATTTTCAACCAAAAAATTTGCAGCTAGCAAATATTGTTAGCCAAAAGCAAAGATTTGGAGCCAAAGTTACGTGTACTTTGGAGCTAGGATTTTGTTTAGTTTTTAACCAAAACAGGATTTACTAAGAGGACCTTCAGTTCATCTAATTGCCGATTCATCGAACTTTCAGCTACATTAATTAGGAATTAAAACACATTTTGAATAGATTTCAAGTTTTTGGGGGAATTTTATTCCTAAATTATTAGAAAATTATATAATTACAAAGTACGATTCTACGACAAATTAGTTTAACAGCTCGATTAGTTTAGTTGCTAGCAAATTATCTTTTAAAAACTATATAAATATATGCGAACATTCTGTCGAGATACAAAAAAAAAAACTAGATAGATAGATAGATAGATAGACATATTAACCAGCTGTTAAATGTAGCAGGCAGATAATCAAGTTAAAATAGAATGGAAAATAGTCAAATAAGAATGCGTCTTAGGATCAAATTAAATACAAGAGGAATTCCATAATGTTAAGATCGTTTGTTCTGGTGCCCCGAAAACGAAGTGCAACGAACAATTCACATGATAAACAACAATAAAAACTATTTTGAAAAGGAATCAATAGAGCCAAAAGCGTGAGAGTAAAAAATGGTATCTTGACTTTCGAAAATGTTGGTCAAAAAAGCGTATCAAAAATATATGTATTTATCGCTGCGCATTTGCCCCCGATACGATATGTATATATATATATATATATGTATACTGTTATGTGAATTATAGACCGATTTATCTAGGATTTTGCGGCTGTTCCAATTTAGTTGCTGCCTGGCGATCTTCGAATAGCTTCACTTAGCTCCAATTTGTGGCTGATATAAACAAGGCTACAGATCTAAGCACTTAGTTGTCTATATGTCTATTTATATATATACACACACGGCCGTATAATCAAATGCCCATACTACGCCGAGCCCAGCACCTCGTTTAGTATCATCTCGCGGGTCATGAACTGCCCGTTGTTGACCCGTGTTCTCGACCGGCTGCGACTGAGCTGGGCGCGTCTCTCGGCGCCTGCCGGTCGCTGGCGACGCGGCTGCCGATTGCGCTGCCCGAAAGCGGAGCCCGTCTGCAGCGCCTCCAGCAGGCTGTCCATGACGCCCTCCTGCGCCTGTGCCGCATCCATATCGACCACGGCCATTTTGCGCTGTTGTCGCTCCATTTGCTCGCGTTGCGATTGTTCGCGTGCCTCCTGCATGCGCTGTTTCTTCTCCTGCTCCTCGCGTATGCGCACATTGTCGTTATGCGCCGCCTGGAACGCATCCTTGAACGTCTTGATGTCCGCAAAGAACTCCTCCATTGTGTACTTGCTGGGATCGAAGGCATAGTACTCGCTCAGATCCTTGAACAGCTTCTCCATTTGCACCTGCATTTTGCCTGCAACAACAGAATGTGATAATTAATACTACAGAATTTGAGGCTTCATTTGCAATGCCTTACCCAACACATCCACCTGCTGACGACACTCGACGGCAAATTTGCCCATCACCTCGCTGAACTTGTCGTCTTCGCACTGCGGCACCTTGTTGTTCTGCAGATCCGTTTCCAGATTCTTGACGGCCGCATTCATTTGCCGCATATTCTTCTGTATGGCATCCATGTTGACGCGCGACGCTTTGTTCACGTGCGACAGATCGTCGTAAAAGTTGAGTGCCTCCGGAAACTTCTTCTCGACCAGATCGACCAAATAGTGAAGCAGCGTTTGCTTATTGTCCGTATCCTTTGTGTTTGTCAATTTGGTCAAATAGGATATCTCGAAGCCGAAGGCGGCCTCGTTCTTGGAGCCCGAATTCATGTAGTTGCCCAGCAGCAAAATGAGCTCCAATATTTTCGAGAACTTCTTGCTGTTGCGTATCTCCTCGCAGGCCGCCGTGCCGGCAACAATGTCCGGCTTGATATCCTGCACCAGGTCCGCATACGTCAGCTTAAAGTTCAGATTGTGCAGGCGCGGCGACAAACGTTTGATTTCACCTGAAGAAAAGTTAAAGAGTTTATCAATAAGAGATTCCCTGAATCCATTCCGATGAGTGTCACCCACCTATGGTAGCTGCGAATTGCTCGATGGGCGGCAGAGGTTCGCCCTTCGCCTTGAACTCCTGCAGACGCTTCAGCTGCTCGGGCGGCGGCAGATATTGTATTAGATTTTGCAGTATATTGGAGGACAGGATGTCGGTATCACAGCGCAGCAGGCATATTTTGATTTGCTCGTAGGACAGATGCTTCAGCGAGCCGCCGAGCAGAATGGACAGATTCTGTGCCGACTTCGAGTCGAGGACGCGCAAATCGACGTTCTTTTTGGTCAGCGTTGTGGGCTTGTCGACGGCATCCTTTTGGTTCTCCTTTTTGACGGGCTTCGAGGAGAACTTGATGGCCAGCTCCTGTAGGAAATCGTCGGAGGCCAGCTTATCTTCCTGGCATTTCACCCAGAATGCATTCTCTGACATCTTGGCCGGCACAATGGCCTTCCAATTGGCACGCTTCATTGGAGTCTTGGGATCCCATTTCTTTTTGGGCTTCAGTCCGTGGGGCAGCACCGGCGCCATCGGCATCATCATCATGGGCGGCGGCGGCGGACCACCCGGCCGCATCATTCCGGGCATGGGCGGCGGCGGCGGACCACCACCCATGCCCGGCATCGGAGGCGGCGGTGGCGGTCGCGGACCACCCGCCATGCCGGGCATCGGGGGCGGCGGCGGCGGTCGCGGACCACCTGCCATGGGTGGAGGTGGCGGTGGGATTGCACCACCGGCGCCTGGCGGCGGCGGCGGCATCGGTATATTGACTTTGGGCAATTTGTTGGGTGATGGCGCTGCCACACCGCTGGCCTCCATTAGCTTGACCTTCTCCTCGAGATGGGCCGCCTTGGCCTCCGCCTCCTGTTTGGCGCTCTCGAGCGCCTCGATCTTCTTCTCATACTCCTCGGCACGTTGCGTCTCCTTGGCCTTTGATTTCTCCACAATGTCGTCCAGCAGCACCGAAGTGTCAATCTTGAAGTCGCGATTCTCGAAATTGGGATCACAGTAGCCCTTGTGGAATACGATCTGTGTTATGCACTCCTCGATCAGCTGATAGTAGGCGGGCCGAAAATAGAAATCATCGCGTATGTACAGTAAATGCTGTAGGATGGAGAGAAAATATGGCTCCGAGCTCGTATCTGTGACCAGATTCTTAAGCACATCGAAACAATCCTGTGCATCGTCCATATTGAATTCGACATTGTCGAATCGTTGGACGAACTCCTCGAAATCATCGTCGCGTATCTCCTTGAAGATCTTGAAGTGCTCCTGCAGCGCCTCATTGTTGCTGCTCTCGACAATCTCCTTGAACTCATCCAGCCGTTCGTACAGACCCATGCGCATGATCTCGCAGCGCAAATGGAGACGGAAATTCAAATCCGTCGGCGTATTTGTGAGCGTATTGATAAAGATGAGACTGTGGCAGGCCAGCTCCCGCTTGGGATCCTGCTTGTCGGAGGCAAAAAGTGCATCCACAATGGGCCTAAACCGTTCGCTCGACTTGTACGACGAGGCCGCAATTGTCGTAATGGCACGCAGCACCTTCTCATAGCCATTCCGTTCGTACACAATGCAAAAGGAGGCCAACAGCTTGAGGGCCTCGCACATGGTCTGCGGCTTGCGCGGATCCAGCGACTGGGCCAACAGCAACACCACGCTATGCTGATCCGGTGTCAGGACCACATTCAAGCCCCACGTATTATTCATGATGGCCTTCAGGCAGCGTATGGCCTCGAATTCGATGCGATCGTAGGTGCGATCCTTTTTGGCGCGCGCCAGCAGCTTCTCGATCTGCTCGATGCCCGCCTCGCCAAACGCCTTGATCCAGGATATCGTGTTGCTATTAAGCGCCACACGCAGCGATTCCACGCACTGATAAACCTTATTCTCGCTGTGCTCCCCATTCTGTAGATACTCGATGTAGTCGTTGGGCTTCTCAAACCGAGAATTCGCTCTGCGCTCCAGTGAGTTTTTGCCTGCGGGTGAAGTGTAAAGTAGAAAGTGTTTTATTTAGTTGTGCTTCAATAACTCAAGTCTCGTTAAAGCCAAGAAAACTTGGCTTATATCATGTGCCAAGCGGTAAACAAAAGTAGATAGCGCCTGTTACGTGAAATATGGGCATTTCTGGTAACAAACCAAACAAAACTAGCTTTAAGCAGACTAGCTTAGCATTTTATTTAATTTACAGCTGTTAAGCAGCTTGTTTTTGTTTTACAGCTGTTAACTTGCTTAACATCTTGTTTACTTTACAGCTGTCAAGCAGTTTAATTTTATTTTGCAGCTGTTAAGCAGCTGTTAACTTGCTTAACATTTTGCTTACTTTATAACTGTTAAGCAGCTTATTTTTATTTTACAGCTGTTAATTCTTGGGCATGTACCACTGTAAGCAAGATTAACAGCTGACAGCGCGCTTTTAACTGTAAATCAAACAGCCCAAGCATTTGGCGCGTTTCGGTCCAGTTACTCGCTTTGCTGCTGCTACCCAACCAAGGCTTCGTTATCAGAGGCCTTTCAATGCGTATACTGCGTGGCTTTATCAGCGAGAGGAAACGATTCTCAACGGTTACTTCAAATATAACCTTGGCTCTTTTTATTTTAAACCGAAAAGCAATAACGAAATGCAATGAAGAAATACATGAGTATATTCGCGCATATGTATGTTTATGTGCGTATATACATGTATATTTATATGTATGTATATTTATATATTTATTATTCAAAACAAACAATGAAATATGCATATTTAAAATTACGTCAATTGCAATTGCTGCAGACGCCTGGACGCTGATTTTGTAGATATTTTTTGCAATTTTTATTGCTCGAGAGTGTAAAACTCAAGTGCATAATGCACACAGCAACAGTTATATCAACACTTAGCAACAACAATAAGTAGGCAACGCTCTCAACAGCAGAGAGAGAGAGAGAGAGAGAGAGAGAGCGCGCGCGATCATTCGCCGCAAAGTGCACAAGGCAAACTTCATAGAGCATCGATGCTCGAAAGCTTTCTTTTTTTTTAACCTATTTTTTTTTCTTACACGTAATGCATGTCCATAAATACACACTTGTACGTATATGTGCGTGTGTGTGTGTACGTGTATAAATGACAAAATCAGATGAAAATAAATGCTGCGCAGGCGATGATAAGTCCAAATGATGCTCATAAACAAAAAACGGGAGAAGGCGTTGGGTACAGCTACAGGTTGGAAAACAAAACAAAAGAAAAGAAAAGTAAAAACAACGGCAACAATAAGAATCTTTAAAGCACAGTGGTTGTGTTTATTATTATAGCAAAACAGCGACCTGAGTTCCAAATGCACTCTTCGAAGTTGTTTATCCATAAAATATGTTTACACTTTGCACTCTGTGTATTGAGCCGTTGGGCAAAAGTATCTTCAGCATTTGAATAATTATGTAGGGCATATTTAAGAGCAGCACTCGCTATAAGGTATTTGCACATATTATCAAGACAAGATGTAGGAGATAGAGACAAGTCTGATCTAATTAAGCGTATGGCTTATCAGCATGATGAGCTAAATTGTCATTTCAATGTTATCTCCATTCTTGCGACTTATGCTGCACATACAAATTTACATATGTATATGGACAATTCCAGGGCTAGACACACACACACAGCACAGTGTGAAGAACATAGAAAAACTTAAATTAAAATTGTATCTGAATGTAAACTTGCAAGGTTGCTAATTAACAATAAACATGGACTTAGACCCGTTTAAGCTGCAAACTTAACATGCACTTCAAAGAGCTAACGTTAATGTTAGCGAAAACTGCTGCTGATAGATGGCGCTAACAAGACTATAAAGTAGATTGGGGATTTCTAGTTCAATTTGCTGAATAAGTTCACTCGTTCATTTTCTGGCCGTGAACTAAATCGGTTCACTCGTTCAGCTATTCAGTCGATCATGAAAGATGAATTCTGCTCAGCTATTTAGTCGGTCTTGAACTATTCGCTTAGTTCAGTTATGCAGTAAAATCAAAAGTGAAATTAAAAACCCGATATCTTTTATGTTTATTAAGAACTGAACATCTCAAAAGAATGTATTCGTTCATGACCGATTGAACGAGTTATTCTGTACTCGTTCATGAACGACTGAATAGCTGAACGAATAAGTTCAGTAGTTCATTTTAATGACCCGTTCAATCGAACTTGGTCTGAACTAAACGACACAACTCTACTATAAAGCGTGTTTCTTATGCACAAATTCGATGCACGAAAAATTGATCGTCTTTGTGCTTATTAAAGCAGCATTTATATAGAGTAAGTGTATTTAATTGTCGTGCGTTTTTTTCTATATTAGCTTCCATGAGCAGCTGTTAATTAAAATGTTTGGAACGCGCGCGCGCCGCTTGAGTTAATTAATAAAACGGTTTCATTTTTTTTCTACACAGTCGGTGGCCCGCTTTTGGTGACGCCCCTGATGAAGTATTGCTGCCAGGTAGTTGTTTTTTTTAGTTTTTCTATTAGCAATTGTAATTAGCATATGTTTTAGGCCAGTTAATTGAAATGTGTATCTGGTCGCGAAATACGTATTTTAAATTGAGGTTTGGGCGCACATTTGATATGCGAAAATTGGGCACAAATCGTTGCACCCATTTTATTTTTAGATAAGGCCAGCCATATCTTATACGAGGTGTATATGCATTGATAACGTTACATTCCAGTTAAAATGCGGCATGAATCATGCGCTAAAATAGCAAATGCGAACAAGCGCAATACGAGGTGATAATTTAATAGAAATGCTGGCAAATCGCATAAAAACTTGGCTAGCACAAAGCACACACAGCACTACAGTAATCGCTGGCTAATTGACGACAATCTATTAATATGAAATGTTGAGAAACTAGAGATCGAGGTGAAAGAAGTTTATGTTCTCTTAGTTATTATTTTGCCTATTTTCAATAAAAACTTGTTCAAAGTCATACGGTTTGTTTGACGAAAGTGTTCAGCTTAGCGAGCGATCACTGTACTCGTGTCTTGTATTTCACCTTTAAGTTTGTGCACCTGTCAATCTTATCTGAGGCCAACGCATTGCTTCATTGTCTTTGTGTGTCCCTCAGCCCGCCCCCTCTCTGCCCCTCTCCCACTACACTTACCTTTCATGTGCATGAATAACATCTTCTGGCGCTCCTCCACGGTCTTGCTGAGCAGCGGTTCGCGCTTGTCCTTGGGTATGTTCATATCCTCGATGATTTCCAGAAATTTGGCATTCACCTCTGCCTCGCTCAGATCCTGTATGTGCCGCTGCAGCTCGTCCACATCCAGGGCACCATCATTGTCCGTGGAGACGGGCCGGCCGGCGCTGTGGGGCAGCGAATTGCTGTTGTAGTTGCCGCTGCCCTTCGACTTGGAGGGGCGGCCGAACCAGCTCTCCAGCAGGCCGCCGCCCACCGATTTTGACTTCTCATGCCGCGACATGCTGCAAGCAACAAAATGCGATATTAGTTAAATTCATTAATTAATCAATTGCAAAAAAGTCGAACCCAAATTTTCTGAAACGCATTTTGCTGCACTAGTGTAGGTGTGTGTGCGTGTGTACGTGTGTGCGTGTGTGTGTGTCTTGTTTGTTTGTTTTCTTGGACATGCGCAACGTTGGCTTTGCACAGCTGTTCATTGTTTACAAACGGGATCTCTCTCTCTCTCTCTCTCTCTCTCTTTGAACTGCACGCCCCGAGCAGCTGCAGGGCACTAGCACAAGCATCCCCCACCAAATCGACTGCAACTCTATTATCAGCGATGCTGCCACTTGTTTATTTACCGTAAGAACATATTGGCAGCGGCAGAGGGACAGGAGCAGAGTTACAATTGAGCTAGAGATGAGCGCGTGCCTTGAACTTAATTTTGCAGCTGTTCATATGAACGAAATCGAGTATATAATTAACTATCGCTCACGAGCTCTCACTCCAAATTGTTATTTTTGAGAATAGAACAGAAAACTAAATGATTAACGGTAATTAAAGGTCTGCCTATTCATATGGGAACTGGAAGAGTAAGAGGTAAATAATACAAGAAACTAAAATACTATAAGAATGTTTAGGTCTGCATATTTAAAACTTTTAGAAACATAATTATTTTTATTCTTTAAGGTAAATTGTATATCCTTTATTGATAAACAATAACTGCCAAGTCGCTTTTATGTAAACTACATTTACATTTTAAGGTATCTGTATTTTTATTGCAGGCATTACAACCTGTAACGGATCGAACAACTATATATCAACAGCCTGCCAAAGCAAAAGAAATCAATAAGTACGAGTTTCACAGTGAGTAATATCTAGTTAACATAAAAATATTGAAATATGTGCAGCCTCTATAAAAACTATCGGAAAAAGTAATTTCTCTTTCGAAAAAACCTTCAATTGTTCCAAATATCCTGATTAAACAGACTATTTATCATTTATTTTAGTCATTTATCATGTTTTATATACAAATAATTGATATTTCTTCGATAAGAATATTCTTTTGCGTGACATCTTGCGATGCTCACGCCCATCCCTAGCCGCTAATTAACATGTTAATGATAATTCAGAGCGGAGTTGGGGGCACGTGGTGCATGAAAACTGTTCATTTAAATCACAAATACAAACATTAAAATGTAAAAACTTAAATACACAAATGAGATAAATACATAAGTAATAAGCGTTATTGAGCGAGCTGCAAAAAAATATGACGCGATAATTACCAAAATAGGAAACGACAAAAAATATATGGGAGAGCGCGTGAGAGCGCAAAAGAGAGAGAGAGAGAGCAAAAGATAAAATTTACGCGGGGTCATCGTTAGTTAAGTGTGTATGTGTGTGTGTGAATCATTTGGCGGCATTCAAATGCAATTTTGTCAGTTAAATTTTGAATTTGCGGTTCTATCGACCTGGGGCCTGGTTAGAAGCTAAGCTTATGATTCATTTGGAAGACAGGTTTTGCGGCCTGATGTTGTCATCGGCAGCAAACTGTGAATGATCTTAGGCAGATGTGTCTGCCTGTCGAGCATTGCAAAATATCTTAAGCAGCTACTTCGCAGCAGAGATCAACAATTTCTTTTCATGTCGAGTAGGAAATGCTTTCAACAAGATTTCTTTAGCTCAAGAATTTACCGCTGCTGCTGCCATTGCTGTTAATTCTGTTGTAATCGCTTCAGTGGCTGAATAGGCCAATGCAGCAGCAGCAGCCATAATAATAAGCATGCTCCGAAGTGTTCGACTAGCAGATACCCTGTAATATATGTATGCACATTCGTAAATAACTTTCAATTTAATATGTTTGGATGAAGCTTTTCAAGTCGTAATCGGTATATTACACACACAAACATATCATACCCCTTTTCGTGGCACTTTCAATGAGCAGCACACTGTGGCAGCAACATCAGCTTTGTTTACACTGAAGCTAATGCACTTTGCTGCTAATGAACATCATGTACGGCAATTGTAAACAATCGCTGTGTGGCGCGCTTTCAAATTTATATCAAAATAAAATGGATAACGGCTTCAAAATGCAAGAAACGTGCTCTGGAATGCTGAAATTCCAAGAAGAGCCGATTAACAAACAACTACAACTACAGCAACAACAACAACTGAGGCGAGACTTAAAGCAAGAATTCATAAATGCGCTCACCTTCGCTTCTACATGCATGCGTGTGTGTGTGTGTGTGTGTGTGTGTTAGTGCTGTTTTGTCGCTGTGCTCACTTTTGATTTTTCGGTGGTTTACGTCATAAGACTAAAAAAATAATGGCTTGGTTGGCAAAGGCAGGCGCACACACACAGACAGACACGCACACACACACACACACACATACGATCAAAGAGAGCAGTCAAACACCCCCCGTACTGTTTGTATTGTCACAGTGGTTGTTGTTGTTTTTGCTGTTGGGTGCGCTGCTGGCCGAATTTTTTTTATTTGTATTTTTTGTTTGTTTTATATGCCGCGACGCTGGCCCAAACAGAGCTGCGCAGCGCACTTTAAGCAGACAGCCACACACACACACACACAAATTCACACGCACACGCAGTGTCTGCTTGCTTTGCGTGGTAATTACAAGGCGATTTATTTAAACAAGTACGCAAGTTTTCGTACCATATAAATAGCTGAAAAGAATTTCGCTTACTTTATGTTATTGAATTATTATTTTTCGGTTTGGCGTTGATCTCTTGGCTGTTTGTGGTGATACCACTTGTTGCTGTCTCGTTGGCGCATTAAACGACACATGAAACGGTGCAAATTTAAAGCTCTGCTACGTGCGCACGCTTATCAAAACACTCTGTTCACAAATAAACACGTAATTATATTGTGCTTCGATTCGCCGTTTGGCACAAATTACACAAACATTAACAATTCAAGCGTTCCTCTAAGCGTTCGGTTAAGCATTTGCTATTTAGTTCAGTTCATTTCGTTCCAGTTCCAATTCGATTCAAATGTTATTTATTATCGCTATCGATATATTTCAAATGTATGTTAAGCTCGCTACGATACATTTCAATGTTAAGGCGCTAACCTAACATTATACAAGACGTAATAATCGTTAAGTTGTTAATATTTCTGCATAGTTTGGTATGTTATTCTCGCATTTAGCAAAAGTATTGCTAGGCTAGATCATTTATTTTATAAAATTAAATTATTATTAAGAAACACTTTTTGCGGCTAACATTCAAATTTAATGTAATTACTAAGATGGTTAAAAATATCGATGATTCTATCGATATCATGTTTCTAGTACTTTCGTGACTGTTCACTTAGGGATGTGAGCTCTAATAATCGGACACCGGAAAAATATCACGTGTGAATACCGGAAATAACCCGCGAAAATTTGTTTAAACTGTCTCTTCATTAATAAGTGTTAAAACTGAATTTCTAATTAGATTGAGAAATAAAACAATTTAATATGATAACTATGGGAAAAATTACGAAAGTGAAGTATTTTCCCAATTTTCCGGTCTAATTTAAGGAGACAGATTGATAGGCCTTTAAGAAACTAATGCATGACTACAGACACAAACAAAATTTCAATGCTTAAAGGAGCTGCCTTTTATATATTTCGAAAAAAACACAGATAATTTGATGACCACATAGACCATAGTTTTCTTTGAGACTGTTTCGATTGTTTTTAATTGTTTACCACGCACTATGTGTCTAAATATGTGTGTGTGTGTGTTGTGTGTTGTGTTAACATACTTATAACCACAGTTATAGCTAATTATTAGATAATTAATGGCATTTATAATGCTAAAATTAGGCTACAAAACGTAATTAAAAACATATGTGATAGTACATTAAAATCGAATAATATGTTATCCGCGCGTAGATACATAAGATACATTCCTCCTAATACTTAGAAACTAAAGTATTTCTATTTGCTGCCACTAGCTGCCTTTTCTTTCGCTAATCCATACGCTTTAACATTTAACATAGACATTAAATTCAGAGCTTAAACCTAAAATACTATTTACATTTAGTGGTCTGGTCCAGCAGCTTCTTCCACAGATCAAACTGTTCGTTCGATTTGATCATGTGCACGCTAATCGCGTTGCGTATATTGCAGGGATTAAATGAGATGCGTCGATTGACAAACTCGTTCACATGCAAACGCTCAATGCCCAGGCTTTGGGCCACAATGCCCGTGGTGAAGACATCCTCCAGCTTCAGATAGACCGTCTTCAGCGAGCGCACATATAGATCATGCACAACCTCGCCGGTCATCACGTAGGCGGGTCCCGTGGTAAACGAGGGAAATACGGCCGCCGGAAATTGATCAGTCGATACATAGTACTTTGATTTCTTGTTGCGTATGGGCTTCCATTTCTTGGCCAAACGGCCAAAGATGGCGCGCTTCTGTTTACGCTTTTCCAGCTGTGTCAGAAAAGTCAACAGCCTAGGCACATTGATGAACATATCGTCGTCCGTCTTCAATATGTACTTGGCATGCTGGCAATGCTGATCGACCCACTCCAGCGACGAGATGGTCTTCAGCGTTAGATTATTGTATGAATCAATAAAATTGCCGCGTATCAGATCGCCGTAAATGAAGTTCTCCTGGCTAAGCGCCGCATTCACCGTCTCGTTGGTGCCGCGACCCACCACAAACGCCATGCTGATGTCCCGTCGTACGCCGTAATGTCCCCAGGTCTGGCGTATAGACATGCGCGCATCCGCATGCGTCTGCGCCGAGGTGATCAATACGAGCAGCCGGATAGTTGCGCCGTTCAGCGGACAGAGGTGTTCCAAATCGATTTCGTCATTAAGATGGCCGCTTTCGTAGATCTTCTCCGCTGCAATGCCCTTGGACGGATCCACCGGACCGTTGGCTGCTGCCTTGCTGTTAACCTTCACCTTTGGCATTGGTGGTTTTGGAGCCGGAGGCGACTTCTCCTTCTGCTCGGCCGCGTCCGGCGCAGTTTTCACCGGCATTACAGCATACGAACCAACTGCCGCATTGTTGTTGTCCAGCAAATTAACTTGCAAGTCCTCAATCAGACCCGGCTGATTGGTCTTATCTGCAAATAAAGCGTACAAAATTTGAGTAATGTTTCCGCGAATAAGCAATATATGTGTATACATTGAGTATCTATGGGTTGTTGTTGTGTAATGTGAAATTTAATAGCGCACGCAAACAAGCCAAACCTTTGTCCAGCACACAGTTAGACCGTTATGGGAAATGTGATACCTCACGCTGGCGGACAATTGGAAAACAAACAAAACGGACTTCAGCTAATGACTTCTATTGTTGCCGAAGCTACTAATGCGACCATGTTATACCCTTGCAGTAGGCACTGACAACGACATCTCGAAACAAATTCTCGATTAGCGCGACAAATTAAGCTGATTGCGAAGCTGGCTTAAGGAGACATTGGATATGTCTTTTGGCGGCAGCGAACGGACCACTATATAATTTAGCTGACTTGGGAAATCTTGGCCTAAAATGTGTTTTTGTTTTGAAAACATTTTTGTTTTAAGTTGCGAGCTTCATCATAAAGCTCTTAAGGCAACTATAATTTTTAAAGAAATCTTGAATGAAATCTCAAGTGACGACTTTGCTACTGAAAGAGAAGCGCATCGAAGTCCGAAAATGCAATTCTTTAAGGAAAACCTGTTTTGTTTTGTTCAAAAAGCGAAATTGATTATGCTGCCAATCTTATTCACATCCGATCATATATCATTTAGAGTTTCTGTTGGAACATTCGATTGAAAATGAAGTTTTTGTACAATTATTTTTTGTTAAACAAATATTGCTCGCATTGCATTGATTGTTGGCTAGTCTAGGAAAATGTTATGCCTGCCAGGGTATTTCATAATCGGGCAACTCCAAAGTTAACTATTCTTGCTGGTATACATTTTCTTGTCTTTTTTGTTTTTGTTTTTCGCTTTTTAATTTGCACAAACGACAACTGTTTAGCGCAACATGCCACGCCCAGAAATTGACAACCAACCCGTGCGTTGTTCGCTGGGCGAGGAGACAGCTCCCGCCGCTGCCGCCGCCGCCGGGTTGCTGCTGTTCGATGTCATGTTCTTTAATATCTTATCGGCGTTCTCGATGAACTTTTGCAAATTGGAAGTGGGTATCATCAGAATCTCGGCGTCCGATGGTGACTGCTGCTGCTGCTGCAGTTGTTGTTGTTGTCCAGTAGCAGCTGCTGCCGCTGCCTGTTTGGCAGCCAAAGATTCGCTGTTGTTGTTGTTGTTTGAGTTGATGTTGCCTGCAATTGATTGATATTTATGCATGCACTGACATTTGAGTAAGCTGTTCCAGTAAACTACTCACCTGTAATTGTATCAATATTTTGCACATATTGCTGCTCTTCGAGCAGCTCGTCGCCGAAATTGGGCACCTGCTCGCTGCCCGCCTGGCTGGGACTGGCGCCCGCCGCGCCGCCATCCAACAGCGCATCCTCATCGATGGTGGGCAAACGATGCTGTTGCTGCTGCTGCTGCGCTGCTTTTTTGTGCTGCAGCTGATCCTGGCTCCTGACCTTGTTGCTGCTGCCGGCCGGCAGCTCAGCCTCAGCTGCAGCTGGCGCGAGGCCAAATTCGCCGGTGTTATTCAGCACAACCATTGCCGGCAGCTGCTCCGCCCGCTGCTGCTTCAGCTGTTGTCCGGCGGCTGCTGCTGCTGTCAGCTGTTGGGGCGTCGGTGGCGGCGGCGCGGCAACATGGATGTGCGTCGGCGTCAGCGTTGCGGTGGTCGAGTATGACGCATAGATAAAGATTGTGAGTATCACAACGATCAGAACGAGCAGAAAGCGCAAAATGCGCGTATTGTGCAAGTTGCCAACTACCATTGCGATCGTTTCAGTTTGAATATCTCAAATGTACGTTTCTTGAGTATTTCCTTTCGTATCTAGTAACTATTTCAAGTAATTCGTGTACATATATATTTGCGAGGGAAAGCGCTTGCTATGCCCGGCACGAGAAACGTGGAGCGACTGCAATGGAAGATAAACAAGAATACTTAGTTCACATAAGGAAATTATATATTTTCGAAAAGGCAACTTCATAATTTACGCGAGTGTGTGTGTGTGTGTGCGTGTGTATTGTGCTGTCAAGTGTTTGCCGGAAGTAAACAAAGGGTGTGTGTGTGTGCGTGTTAATAGAAGTTATAAAATTAGATGGAATCACATTATTTTGCCACTCGTAATTAAAGAGCTACCATTTATCTTATCTCTCAACTGGGCGAACTAACTGAACAAGTAATGATATTTATCGCTGCATATTTATCTATTTATCGATAAAAATTAATATACAAACAGTTCTTGCAAGTTCTATCAAAGAAGGGGAAAATAACCGTTAAAAGCAGACGGGCTAGCAAATATTGAATAGGTGCGTTACCACTAAGAAACTGCGAATTAAGTTAAATCAAAATGTACGACAGCTAATTTTATGTTTATTGACAGTTAAGCCAAATTTGTTAGAAGAAAAACTTAAATACAGAATGAAAGCATTTTCTGTTAATTCAATGCTCTTTTATGCCATAATCTTTTTATCAACAATTAAATAAAACAGAGCTAAAAGATAGGTTAAAAGTTTTTTTAAGGCGTAACCTAGCGCATTTATTGATGTGCTAGACTTTATATTAAATTTCCATAGGCAATATTTCAGAAAATAATACAAATACATTTCTTTGGAGAATCGGGAATTTGAAGCGAGTTTTTATAGTTCTCAGCGTCAACTTTATTATTCGTCACATCACTTCTTAAATATTAATATAATATATAATATATTATTAAACTAACCAAATGTCCGAGCAATGCAAAAAGTTGTAAGTTTCTGCTGTTCACGGGCAATCGCCCATAAATGCTAGACCATATAAACTATTCCGATTAAAATACATAAATCTTTACGATTGTGCGTGACTTTACTGGGCTAATGCCCAGATAAGGACTACTGTCAGATATGGGGTTATCCGTCTAAGCAGAGAAAAGAGCACGGAAACGCAGACACGGATTCTATTTTGTTTTCTTTGAACTCGAAACCAACTAAATTCAACAAAATTTCAGTTGTCAAAAGGAAATAAACATGTGCTTATCGTCATGTCTTTGGATTTTTGCTCAAAATGTAAATTGGCCAAAGATAAAGCTAAAGAAAAATAAAAAGGAAACAATATAATTAGTTATTAAGTGTTGGCTTCTTAAGAACTTTATCAGAGACATTACCTTAAACATTTTACTCATTAGCAGACTAGTAAAACAATTTGCTTTCGCCTTATGGAGTGTAATCAAAGCAACGCTAGAAGATTCTTGAAATAAGTATACAAAACACGTATGTGTTTATAGCTGACGCATGCGGAGCAAATATTTTGGGCATAAGAATCGCAGACTGAAGATGAGCTTTCTGCTGTTCTGGCCATGCTAATGAGCTGGACAAATGTCAGGAGCGCGAAGCATAAATTAGAGAGCATCAGTGCTGTCCCCTCCTCCCAAAAATCTAGCTATTTCTTGAAGCCAGTTAGCGAGAAAACTTGAGTACAGTAGAAATTCTAGCTTGCTTACAAACCAGTTTTGCGTTTATTTGTATCTTAAATTTTTTAATTTTACAAAAAGCGTATGCAAATATACTCAAAATACATATCTTAGTGGCTTTAGGCACTTAATATCTATAAGTCGCAAGTGCTGTATAGTTAGTTAATTGATTAGCGATAGAAAAAGCCAATGAGCTGATTGCAGTTCATTTACATTTTGATTGTTCGTTTATTTGTGTTGGGTTAAACATGAATTCGAGCCAAATGCATAAACAATTTAATAGTATATTTTTTTTTACATTTCCTCACAGACATGAAATTAGCACCACGTGCTTTGCTTTATATCAAGATGTGGGCACACTGGAAAACAGTGTTGGTATGTGCCTAACTGGAAGTTTCTTTAGCTGACATTCAGGAGCTTTAAGTTTAACTGAAGTTAAGTTAAGCGCCAATCTAAGCTAAGATTGAGTAAAGAAACCTAAAATAAAGCTTTGCAGCTTGTTCATTTTGTCAATTAAGTTTTCTTTTCAAGCTTTGCCAACACTGGTCAGCATCCATAGATTGTTTGTTGTTGCCATGGGCTGCTGTTTTGTATGCGCAGACACAGACACAAAGTTAACTTTGAGAAAAATGCTTGACCCGATTCAAAGAACCTGAAGTAACCCGCCTGCGCAAATACTTAGCCCGCGACAGGGTATTGTAGCTAACACACTTGGCCCAGATACTCAAGATAGAAGCCGGCACTTGCACAGCTTAAGTTCCAATCAGCTTCACCTGGTCAAAACGGAAATTTCAGCGCTTATTGAGCGCTCCGATAGCCGCACAACTGACAAGTTTATCGCTCAAGTGGATTTCATATATGTAGTACATATGGCATACAAACTAGTTCAATTGTTAAAGTGCCATTAAAATGCTAATAATAGTTAACTGATTTTGATTAGTAGTTTCACCTGTTGACCCCATCCTATAAAAATAGAACATGTTAGCCAATGGACGTCAGAGCCAAACTGACGTCAAAATCAAAAGGCCAAAATATATTAAATGGCCGTGCTTGCTCGAAGAAGAAGGTCGGAACTTCCAGAACAGGCAATTCATGTTGATAAAATAATGTATTCTAAAGAAATTCACTTGAATTGATATCACAAAGTTTCATTTTTGTTTTCCAGAATTATCTGGAATATCTGGCAAATTATAAGTTAACAAATATGAGAAAACTGAAAATACGAATACTAATAATTGTTACTAATATATTGTTTCAAAGTTTTAATATGCAAGCGAAATCTGCAATGGTTTAAGGGCTGGGACTTTCCATTTATAGCTTGGAATAAATTATAAGATAAGGTTATAGATAACTGGGCCGACGCTGGCGTCTTTATCTAATCTGTCTAATTAAAACAACTCATTGAAAGCAAGACGAATATCACGCAAAATAGTGTTATTGGCATGTCGCTTAGGTTGTTTACACTGCACAAAAGGTAGCTGACAGATAAAGCAATTAAGTTGTTTTGGCTTGAGTTCTTATAAATCTTAACAATGGGGTTTTCATAAGAACCGAGCTACCGATTTCTAGCGGGTTTTGCCCAACTTTGATAATCAATCAGCCAGTCATTCCATCAATCGGGGTCAATTTAATTTCGATCTACCATTAAACGTTAATTGTTGTAGTTGCCAGCTTGTCTTACCCAAACTTTGATGATCAATCAGTCAGTCATTTTATCAATCATGTCAATTAGAATCTGAACTATCATTTGCTGGTTTTACCCAAACTTTAATGATCAAGAGTCAGTCATTTTATCAATCAGGTCGAATAATTGTAGCATTTACTAACGGGCTTTACCCAAAGTTATCAATCAGGTCAATTAAAATCCATTTATGTGTGGTTTTACCCAAACTTTGATGATCAATCAGTCAATCATTTAGACTTTCAGATCAATTAGAATACGAACTACAATTTGGGTGATACCAATCAGGTCGTTTAATTATAGTATTTACTGGCGGGTCTTGCCCAACTGATGGATAATTAATCAGTCAGTCAATCAGATCAATTAAAATCCCAGCCACACTTTAAGATTTACTTCATGCAAATAAACGTAGCTTTTACTAGTTAGTTTTATTCGAACTTTGATGATCAATCAGTCAATCATTCTAATAATCAGGTGAGCGTTGATAATCAATCAATCAGTCAATCAGATCAATACAAAAAACCCAGCCACGATTTAATAAGATTTACTTCATGTAATTAAACGTAGCATTTACTAGTTAGTTTTATCCAAACTTTGACGATCAATCAGTCAATCATTCTAAATATGAATTATCAGTCAGTCAGTCAATAACTTTGTTACTAGCAAATTTTAGTTATTTCTAAGATTTATAGCTGACAGATCCCAGTTGTTGTTTCGATATATATATCTATATATATACTATATCTTTGGCTGTCAGCGTGGAATTTTCTTAGCTAGTTGACTTTGTTTACGGTGTTTTCTTTGACGCACTGTGCAATTTGGTAGCTTATCGTGACGCCCAGCTAGAGACAATAATATATGTATGTGAACTGAAACGCAAGTACTTGGGCAAACAGTGTCAAATCTAAAAAGGAAAAAAAAACTAACAATAAACTTTGTATTGGAGACCGCAGCGTGACGCGGTTGTCGGCTGTCTGGAAAGCGAGAGTGCTCCATACTATATATAATTAGTACAAATAGATTAGGCTGCTGCTAGTTCATCTCTGACGCGTGCTCTGAACCCGCCCGCCCGATGAGTCATGTGATAAGAACATGTGGTACCTGCTGCAATGTTTACAAATGCTAATCAATAGAAATACTTCCGCCCCGCTCAACGCCGGACAATGCCATATCAGCGTCTATACTAATTGGTGCGGCTTATCAGCCATGTACACTGAAAGAATTTTTATGTATTTCGTATTATTAATATTTAAATGGACTTTCTAAAAAAGAATTATTCAAATTTAGAAAGTGTACACTGAGAGAATTTGTATGCATTTCCATTAAATATATAAATGGAATTTTTTCAAATTATAATATTTTCTAGAAAAAGAAAAGTTGGAAGTTTAAATGTCTGCGATTTTCTCGAATATTATCTGAACAGTTTCTATTTCAAATTAAAAAAAATATAGTTGTTTTATTTTCACAAATTAAACCTTATAAATTTGCTATTCAGATACTTATGAGACCTTTTATTTGATTTAAATCTTTTTTCCTTCCATTTTTATCTAGCTGAAATTTTTTCCTCTTACTAAAATAAAGTAAATTATTCAATATAAGTAAATGGTGTAAGCAATTTACATTTAAATGAGGCTAATGAAATGAGTCAAGGGGCCAGCATTTGCCCGGGCCCCGGGATCGTAATTGCACTAATGAACACGCGATTTTTTTCAGTGTTTCGCTGTTGGAATTACTTGCAAAGTGCTAAATGAGTGCGATATGAATGTAAAAATTTGCAATTATTATTTAACGCGCTGTTAAACTGAAACAATATGTTATCATTTATTGCATAATTTGTGTAGGTGAAGCTGGATCAGCCTCGGCTGCTGCTCAAACACATTGTACAAAAACTATGGACCCTGATAAGTACATTGAACCGCAGATAATTGTCGGTTATACCGAGAAAACGGGTTTCCAACCGAAACCAAAGAGGAACAAAATCTTTGGCTGGACCATGTGGCTATCAATCAAAGTCGCATCAAATGCCAAAAGGAGGGCGTTGACCACCAAGTTGATAAAAAATAAAATATATCCAGCTGATCCGCCTGGCTAGCTAACATACATATACATATCCATGATACTTCCGCCAGCTGAAGAAACCTTCGCGCCGGAATAAACGCACATGGAATTTGGCAATAGCCAAAAACTATTACCCAATCTTTAAGCAAACAAAATAGAGGAAGAAAAAAGCGTTATGGTTATGTTAATCAATTTAACAATAGGCCAAGTAAGCGAGGAATAGGCGAGGCTGCACGACTAGCAGATTCCCTGCAAACACACACAAACATTGCTCGCAAGCTAGACTAACTTGAGGGTTTCTGGTCAGATCATTGCGAGCTTTTAAATTGCAATTCATATATAAAAAACAATCATTGTTTACGTTAGTTTAAGTTTCAGTCAAAATAGAGTTTTTTTTTTCAATTTTAGCCGGTGCTGACATCGATATTTATCGATTATTTTATATCTCTCTCTATTATATCCAATAGTCTAGGCCTTCTTCTTTCTATCTGTTACACATTTGTTTAAATAGATGCAACTTAAAAGTCAAAATTCTATATAAAAACAAAGTGTACAGTATGTTTTACATACTTTTCGTAATGTTATTAAATTCCAAATTAGTGTAGCCAAACTTAACAAAAGCAAAAAACTGAAAATGTATCAATTTTCATGTTGCCACACATTTATATAACTTCATTAGACCCATTGAGAAATGGTTACAGGGTATTCAAAAACAACGCAGTCATCGCTGGCCCATTGCATTATCACTGGCCCTCAGCAATGCCCCCCCCTCTTTCATTCTCCCTCTCTCTTGCAGTCGATCTCAGTCGCACACTAACTTACCTGCAGCTAGTCGCAGCGTCGACGTCGACGTCAACTTGGCGAGTAAATTTGTTAATTGAAGCAGCGACTGAGGCAGCGCGTCAGCGTCAGCCTGAAGACAGCGACAAAGTCGTCGACGTTGGGGCTATGTTTGTGGCTGTGGCTGTGGCTATTGTTGGACCAGGGTCAAGCATAATTACTATGTGCCTGGCTTGTTGTCTTCTTGTTGTGTTAGCTATTTTTAGTGTTTGCTCATAATTAATTTGTATTTTGTTGACATTATGCGTATAAAAAAGAATTATGACAACAATTAGTTGGACAGTGTATGTTCTTTTTCTGGACGTGCCGATGTGCCAGCTGGCGCCTAGTCAGTCGCCTTGGGAGCCTGTGCTTCGACTATCCGATTATGTGTTTAGCCTTAATTTAATGCCAGTTGTTTTAAAGCTGTTTCATTAGTCATGCGGGCCAGGCATAAGAAACAGACTACGCGTTTATTTCTGGCCAATATGCATGTGTGTATGCAAAAGGTTTCGCGAGTTTTTTCTTTTGCTTTTCAGTTACTTTAACGCTTGTTGGTTGCTGTGCGACAACGATTTGCATTTGTTTTTGTACAGCTAATGACACTTTTGGAGGCTTATGCACTTTATCGCGAACACGTATGCAGTGGAATGGCTTTTGAATTTAGGGTTTTAATCTCATTAAAATAAATCTCAAATACAGTTTTTGTTTACTCCGCGAAACGCGAACGGGTGCGAGTCGTTTGTGTTCGTCCGCTGCTCGTGTTGCGTTTCTTCTTCTTGCTTTTCGTACTAATGATAATAATCACCCTGTGTAGATTAACAGCTTGCATAACAGCGGCATGTTATTTTACTGTTGCCTTGCTGTTAACAACAGCAAACTTTTACAAATTACTGATTACTTTTCTGTTGCAATTCGTTGACATATATTATATCAAAACTCTAAAATCGAACTCATTTATTTATTTAGAATCGAAAATCAGAAAGTTACTTCACATTTGTAGTCACCCGGGAAGAATTAACAGCAGAACAAACCCTAAAAGTCGGTTATAGTAGAGTTGCCTCAGTTTGAATTATATTTTATTATTTAATTTATATTTTAAATTAATGCTTTTGTAAAAGATTACGATGTCTATGTCTTTCAATGGAGCCAAGCTATGTTTATAGAAGGTAAACATTCTTGGATTTATGTTTAATTCTCAACTTTGGGCGCAGTAGAAGAATATCACGCGAACAGTCCAACAGTTGCGCAACTGTTGGCGAACGTGAACAGCGCAACTCTGCCTATCGATAAACTGTGTACGTCAGCTGCAGCTGTCAGAAGCGATTCACAAAAATTTTCAACAACCGACTTGTTATTGTGCTCGCTTCCGTGTATTTGTTTGGTCCATATAAGAGTAAAGTGAGATTAAACGCATTTGCTTAGCATAATTGTTGTATTTAAATGTTGCATGCATATAATGCACTAAGTGTCTCGTTCGTTCAACAAGGCGACAGAGGAGAACACAACAACAGTTGAAACACCGAGAAAAAAAAAACCCCCCCCAACAAGAACGCATAACTATGTCATTTGTCGGCGGCGGGGTGGTGGGCGGTGGCACCGATGTGCACAAATTCGTTGAGGCCCTGCAGGCAGACTTCAAGACGCTCTCACTTGAAACCAAGAAGAAGTACCCGCAAATAAAAGAGGTAAGTGCCTGTACCAGGGTCAAATGCTGCCGTTTGTTGCCTCATTAAATCCGCTGACGTGTGCATCATTGTGGCAATTTGTCATGCGGTGGCAACTGTGTGCGCAGTGCCTGTTTTGTGGCCTGCTGACGCCAGTGATGGTGGAGGGGGGAAGGGGGAGTGGCTGCTCTGTGCACCTGTGTGTGTGCACGAAGCAATTATGAAATTGATATCGCACCGGTCAGCGAAAAGCAATCAAATTTGATTTTTATGACAAGTGCGTTAATCGAATTGTCTATGGTCGTTAAAAGTTAAACAAAATTTCATTTCGTTGCAGGCATGCGAAGAGGCAATTTCGAAATTATGCACCGCCGGCAGCAGCCAGCAAAATTCTGTATACTACACCGTCAATCAGATACTCTATCCGCTGGTGCAGGGCTGCGAAACCAAAGACTTGAAAATTATCAAGGTGAGTCATCAACATAACTTGTTAACGTTCCACCCTTTCACGTGTCTCTTCCTTCCCAAGTTCTGCCTGGGCATGATGCAGCGCCTGATTACACAGCAGGTGGTTGATCAGAAGGGCGCCCTGTATATAACAAACGCCTTATGGACCCTGATGGAGCACAACATCGAGGAGGTCAAGGTGCTGCAGACGGTGACACTGCTGCTGACCACCAATCTGGTGGTGCATGGTGACACGCTGGCCAAGGCGCTGGTCTTGTGCTTTCGCTTGCACTATACCAAGAATCCAACAATTGTCAACACAGCTGGCGCGACAATACGACAGTTGGTCTCTCTGGTCTTTGAACGCGTTTATTTGGAAAAAGACTCGGTGCACAGTCTGCAGCAACAGCAGCAGCAGCTGCAGCAGTCGGGCACAAGCAGTCCGGATGCCGATGGCAATAGCACACAGGATGGACAAACTTTTGCTATGGACGCCTTTCATTTGTTTCAGGATCTGGTGCAGCTAGTCAACACCGAGCAGCCCTTTTGGCTGCTGGGCATGACCGAAATGACGCGCACTTTTGGCCTCGAGCTGCTCGAGGCCGTGCTGAGCAACTTTAGCGCAGTATTCCACGAGGTTAGTTTGACATAAATATGGCCATCAACTATAATAATAACACATTCTCGTATACTGCACAGAATCAGGAGTTCCGGCTGCTTCTGAAGGAACGCGTTTGCGCATTAGTCATAAAACTATTCTCGCCCAATGTTAAGCACCGCCAGCTGCCAGCGCCAAGCAATGGCACAGCTGCAGTGCCCGTGGACAAGCCATATTTTCCTATAAGTATGCGTCTGCTGCGCCTGGTGGCCATATTGATACAGAAGTATCATACCATATTGGTTACCGAGTGTGAGATATTTTTGTCGCTAATCATCAAGTTCTTGGATCCGGACAAGCCGCACTGGCAGCGCGCCTTGGCTCTTGAGGTCATTCACAAGCTGGTCACACGCTCCACGCTAATTGCCTTCTTCTGCAAGTCGTACGATTTGAAAAATCATGCCACGCATATTGTGCACGACATGATTGCCGCAATGGGCAGCTACGTGCGCTACTCACTGATCAATGCATCCGCTGTGCTCAGCAACGGCGGACAACAGGCAGTTGGCGCCGCTGGGCAACCGCCCAGCACATTGTCGGCGCTGGCCAGTGGCGGCAACAATCAGTGTGGTTTTATGTTCCGCGGCGCCTATCTCCCACTGGTGGCCAGCTTTGCGCCGGGCCTACCCAAGGCTGTTTAGTAAGCAGCTGCAGCAGCACTTTACAGAAAAATACTAATTAGCCTTTATTTGCAGCCTGGAAATGCTGGACAAACTGGATGCGCCCAACATACCCGATAGCTATGGCATTTCGCTGGCCTATGCCATTTTGCTGGACATGACGCGCTCGATTGGTGGCGTTATACAACGCACGCCGGAGCTGCATCCCACACACAACATGGCCGTTATCACCGAGGAGGAGCACAAGCCATTGTGCCTACAACTGATCAATTCCAGCTGGTCTGGCCTGCTCAGCGCATTCATTCCGCTTGTGGAAACTTCCATTGATGAAGGCACCACAGAGAACATTCTGAAGGCCATGCAAAACTATGCAGCCCTTTGCGGCATGCTGGATCAATTGCAGCCGCGCGATGCATTTATAATGGCCATGTGTCGCGCCTCATTTCCGCCACACTATGCCATGTCCATATTTGCCAACGCCGCCCAGCTGGATGCAGATCTCAGATGTAAGCGTTGTATCCTTAAGTATTTCTTATCTTTATTATTTGTATACCCATTCCAGGTCACACACGCAGCGGCAGTCAGGATCTGAGCAGTCAGTTCATCAATAGCTGCAATGCCGATGGTGGCGACTTTCGGCCACAGATTGTGGCGGTGGGCACGCCGCTGCCCAGCGCCTCGTTGCCGCACAGCGTGATGCAGGCCCCAGTGATGCTGACCAATAAGAATTTGCAGTGCATGCGCGCAATTCTGCTGCTGGCGCACAACAATGGCAGCATACTGGGCACCTCGTGGCACATTGTGCTGCAGACGTTGCAGCATTTGGTTTGGATACTGGGCTTGAAGCCTTCAACGGGCGGCAGTTTGCAGGCGATGCCCAAGCCCGCCGTGGAAGCCAATGTGGGCATACAGACGGCAGTAATGGCTGATCTGCCGGTGCTGTCCCAAATGATAGGCCAGCTCTTCGAATCCAGTCAGTATTTGGATGATGTGGCGCTGCATCATCTGATCGATGCGCTATGCAAGCTCTCCCACGAGGCCATGGAGCTGGCCTATGCCAACCGGGAGCCCTCGCTGTTCGCTGTGGCTAAGCTAATGGAAACGGGTCTCGTCAACATGCCACGCATCGAGGTGCTCTGGCGGCCGCTCACCAATCATCTGCTCGAGGTCTGCCAGCATCGACACATACGAATGCGCGAGTGGGGCGTGGAGGCCATCACGTATCTGGTCAAGTCGGCGCTGCAGTTCAAGCACAAGCAGCCGCTCAAAGAAAACCTGGTGAGTATATATATTACATATATATATTATGCTATATTACTGTAAAATATTCAACACGTTTTTAATTGCAGGAATTGCAAACCATGCTGCTGAGTCCGCTCTCCGAGCTGTCCACGGTATTACATGCGGATGTGCGTCAGCGTCAATTGGATTGTGTTCTGCAGATCCTCAATACAGCGGGAGAAATTCTATCCTTTGGCTGGCCCGCCATCATTGAGATAATTGGCGCTGTCAATGATCATCATGGCGAGCCGCTGATCCGCACCGCATTCCAATGCCTGCAGCTGGTCATCACCGATTTTCTGACGGTCATGCCATGGCGCTGTCTGCCCCTGTGCATCAGCACAGCGGCCAAATTCGGCTCACAGACGCAGGAGCTGAATATCTCGCTGACGGCCATTGGGCTCATGGTAAGCAAAAAGCGAAAAAGCGAGGAGTGAATGAAAATTGATTTTCTGTATTGATTTCCTTTTGCTTTTACAGTGGAATATCTCGGACTTTTTCAATCAAAATCAGGACAAACTAATGTCCACACAGCTGGAGGATGTGGCCATATTGCCGGACTTTCCCGGCACACTTAAAATGCCTCAGTTTGACAAGCTGTGGATGTGCCTGTACGCCAAACTGGGCGAGCTGTGTGTGGATCTGCGGCCGGCGGTCCGCAAATCCGCCGGGCAAACGTTATTTTCGACAATTGCAGCGCATGGCAGCCTGCTAAATCCACCCACATGGCAGGCACTGGTCTGGCAGGTGCTCTTCCCGCTGCTGGACAATGTGCGCGCGCTCAGCAGCTCCGCAAGCAATGAGAAGGTGGACGCCAGCGGCAACATTCTGATTCACCATTCGCGTAACACCGCCCAAAAGCAATGGGCCGAAACGCAGGTGTTAACCTTATCCGGCGTGTGTCGGGTGTTCAACACAAAGCGCGACCTGCTCCAAATGCTGGGCGATTTCGAGCGTGCCTGGTCGCTTATTCTAGAGTTCATACAGAATGCGGCGCTCAGCAAGAATGGTGAAGTTTCGCTGGCGGCGCTAAAGTCCCTGCAGGAGATTATGTACCACACGAGCACGGAGCGTGGG